TCTTTCAGAGAAAACAATTGAAGCATAAATTTTGGAATATATGTACATACGTACATATGTAAATTATAGAGTCGGAAAAGACTCCTCTAGAGTGTTATAAGCTTCTGACGTTTGGATTTATTTTGTATCAATTTATAAAAATTTTAACCCCTTATGAATTTTTTGTGAATATTTATCTATATTTTTAAGGCAATTTTTTTGGACAAACCACAGCTTAAAAAACTCATAGCTAAGCCAAAATCCCCTAATTTCGATGTGGAAGCCAGTTCTATGCTAGTTTCGAATATGTTAATAAATCTGCATACTCAGTTTCAAAAGTAAAAAAATTGACATTTTTATCAATTTATGCAAATTTTAACGACCCCCTTATAAATTATTAAAAAAATGGCAAAAAAATTTGTTTCTCTCTTTTATACCCAGAAAGATTCGCCTGTTAATGCTGATCAAGAATATATATGGCTTATGGGGTCGGAAATGACTCCTCACTGCTCTGCAAGCTTCCGACTGAAACTATGTTACCATTCCTTGAGCCGATATTTATCTATTATTTATATTAAAATTTTTCGTAACAAATTAAAGTTTGATGCACACATAACTAAGTAATAAAAGCATTAATTTAAATTCGGAAATCGTCCCATGTCAGTTTCCATTAGAATAAATAAATCTGCATAGCCCCCCGACTGCGCTTTTTTTAATCAGCCTGATTCTTAAATTTCACAATTTCACGTTTATGATATACCAGGCGAACAGAATCGGAAAGAGATGGCAGCAATCCAGCAGCACAACATGGCAATGGTATTGAGATAACGCCAAATTGTAACAGAGCTTTTCAGCATTCCAAATCCTAATGGCCGTCCTTTGTTTACATTTGAATTGACCAATTAGAGACTTTCTTCAAGTTCGTCTCATCTGAGATCCGTTACTTAGGACTTTGAAATTAATGGCCGCCCTTTGTTTACATCTGATTAGACCAATCAGAGACGATCTTCAAGTTCGTTTCATCTAAGATCCGTTACTTAGGTCTTTGAAATTAATGGCCGCCCTTTGTTTACATCTGATTAGACCAATCAGACACGATCTTCACATTACCATCTTTTAAGAACCGTTACTTTGGAGCATTTGGAGCATCAGCGGAATAGTTGCTTGCTGAATATTCTGTTCGCCTGGTGTTTAAAGTCGAGTATTTAAGAAATTCGTATGGCGAATTTCGTTAATTCAGTGTGTATGTTGTTGGATTTGTTGTTATTTCTTATGAATATGGGCATTAAATCGGATTAATTTAACAATTGGTATACCAGGCAAACAGAATCGGCTGGCAGCAGCTCAGCAGCACTACACCAGCATTCCAAATCCTAATGGCCGCTCTTTGAATTGTCCAATCAGAGACTTTCTTCAAGTTCGTCTCATCTAAGATCCGTTACTTAGGACTTTGAAATTAATGGCCGCCCTTTGTTTACATCTGATTAGACCAATCAGAGACAATCTTCAAGTTCATCTCTTCTAAGATCCGTTATTTAGGACTTTGAAATTAATGGCCGCCCTTTGTTTACATCTGATTAGACCAATCAGACACGATCTTTACGTTCCCAACTTTTAAGAACCGTTACTTTGGAGCATTTGCATCAGCGGAATAGCTGCTTGCTGAATGTTCTGTTTGCCTGGTAGACAAAATCAAGTATTTTGGGAATTTGTATGGGGAGTTCGCTAAATTGGATTTGTTGTTTGTTGTTGGATTTGTTATTTCACAAAGTTAAGCAGAATATTATGTGGAGTTTATTTGTTGACATGTTTTATTCTTTATTGATTGAAATTTTGATTCCCCTGTTTATGATGATCAAGGGTTATGTTTTTTTATGATATATAGAGTCGGAAATAAGTCCTGCGCAATTTTATAAGCTTCTAACATAAACTATAACAGCCCGTAAGAGCATAAAAAAGGTCTAAGATCTTAGTTTTTTCTGAATTTATTCCTTTTGCACAAGTTTAAGATTCGGTATGTACATATGTACATTTGGCTTGGCCTCTTGACTCTCCATTTGTTTGATTATTCCGCACCTTTCTCCCTGAAGCTCGTGGGACTGTCGAGGTCCTAAGTCATAATGACACTGGTCAACAAATGTGCGTCTGTGGGGGCGGTAAGTTTCCACGGGCGGCATATCGATTCACAAATGGCATCCAGTTCGATTCCGGCTGCTGTCAATCATTTGTGGTCCCACATGGGTTAGGGGAGGCAGGACTCAACCGGACTTTGGCTTTGACTTCGACTTCCAGGACCGAGGTCCGAGTTTCGAGGCTTCTGCCAGCCAAACTCTTTTGCGTTTTGCCCAATTCCTTACATTTAATTTCGTTTATTCATTCGAATGACCACAAAATGACATTTGCATTTGGACACACATCCACATCCCATATCCCACATCCCATATCCTGGACTCATGTGCTGCCCTCCAGGGAGTTCCATCCGACAGCTTTGGAGTCTGGAGGCTGACTTTGTCTCCTGGGCTCTCCGGGCTCCCAGCTCCTTCACCGGTCTTCGGCCTCCGGTCTCCGTAATCTCGTAACAAATGAACGGCACATTTTGCAAAAATTTGTTTTGACATCCAAAGACACTGGCCCAAAGTGCAGAATTTTATATAAAACACAAAAGTGCGAAACTATCTCTCTTTTTAATATATATATATCCCTCGCTGTGTGTGTAATTAATTCTCTGCTGAGTCGACACACACAAATCGTAGGCTGAGCCAAAAAAGCACAATTAAATGGTTAACAAAAACGGATTGGATACGGCGATGAGGATGGGGATGGGGATGAGCAACTTGCCTGGACGTAGCATCACCCTAAGCCATTTGTACATTGGTCCACATACTCTAGATTTCATAACGTTTAGTTTCCGTTGAGTGAGTCTCTTTTAAGATGGAATATTTATTTAGAGAAGTTATCTGTAACCGTTGGCTCTGGAAAGACAAATGAAGTTTTTTATATATTATAAATATAAAGTATATATTAAATATTTATTATTATGGTTTCCAGGCCAATGTGCCTGGCAACTCAACTGCAAATGGATAACTACAATTTTTCGGATGTTGCAGCTATGGCAAGGGGCCATTCCTGACGGTGGACTGCGGACTCCGGACTGCGAACTCCGGACTCCGGCGTGGAGTCATCCTCGTCGTCAACAGCATTTGCAGTAGCCATCGCTGTAGCCGTGGCCAAAAAGCAATTAGCAAAGTTTTCAGTCTCCAAAAACACTCACTCCCAACGATGTGGGGGTCAGGGATTTGGAGCTGGACAGGACCAACGGCCATCATCAATCTGGTCCACTCCGTCCGCTTAGTCCCAGCCCAGTCCCAGTTCCAACCCCCTGACCAATACCGTCCGATGCCGTTCCTCCATCCATTAGCGTTGCACCTAAGTTATCAGCTGCCACCGACAGGCCATTGCACCGCCGAAAATGTGATCCAAATTTGTCAGTATTTCTCTATTCGAATTAATAATAATTAATATTCGTTATTTAAATGTATTACTTTCTACGGTTTTCCAATTCGAATTAAAATCTATATATATTCCATTGCATAGAATTTTCTGTGGCCCACTGCAGTATTTTTTCTAGGGGAAGCCAATACCAAGGCAAGGAATTTCCATAAATTAATAATCAAACATTTTAAAAGCCAAATTAATAAATTAATGTAATGAAATTATTTGGGCATATCATTTTTTGTTTTTTGTTTTTCTTTTTCTAGCGGTGCGACGACAAGCGCGACCATCGTCATTCCCAATTACTTATGGATAATCTAACCCAAAATGGGACGTTAATTACTGGCGCATGTCAGTGGCATTTCCCCTCCTTGCCCAGGGGATCCTGCCCAGCTTTCTCAATGTGAAACTGTGTGTGAGGCGTGAATTGCAGAAGTGCGGAGCTATTCACTTTTTTGTCCAACTGTAAGCGGAGCACGGAGGCCACAGTCCCAGGTCCATAGAGTCCTCACTCCAGAGTCCTTAGTCCGTTCTCCGGCCATTTATGGGGTGATTAATTAAGCTGCAAGAGCCTGCGAATGCAACTTTCTGCCGCTGACATCTCCCCGTGGAACTACTTCTAATTTGGTTATCTTAAATTTATTCCTGAAATCAAGCCAACTAAAGATTGAGTGGAGTTTTTTACACCAAATATTACCATTACCTTACCATTTATTCTCCCAATGGTCATACTGAGCCACAAACGTCATTTTCGGCCCTTTAAAAAGCCAAGTGGGACAGCTGTGAACGCAGTGCGTCCTCACCTGCCTCCCAAGTGCATTTTGTCAACTTTATTTTGCTACAAATAATTGACTTTTCGATTCACAATTGAATTTTTAATGCAATTTGGCTTGGCTTTCCGTGTCCCAGATTTGGCTTTCATTTTTTATTGACTTTATATCTGTGATGATATTTTTTGACAAATTAATACAAGCGTCTGATCGGCTGATTTAAAAGCCCTTCAGTAATGGATCTTAAAAGAGGGGAACTTGAAGAACTTCTCTGATTGGTCATTTCAAACGTAAACAAAGAGCGGCCATTGCTCACATTGTGAAAAAACCGTTACAAGTAAATGTAAACAAAGGACGGCCATTGCTCTGATCGCAATTCACATGCTGCAGGGCAACTTGTTTCTGTTTCTGTTCGCCTGGTGCCATGAACCAGGAAAAAGACGGGCTTTCGTGGAATTTTCATGCATTGCCAGTCGCTCGTGAACGATATTTTTTATGTACAAATAAGTTTCTAGGGTAAACTTTTGGCTTCTTTAGGTAACTATAATTTCTTGGAAAACGTGCCATTGGTGTATGGCAAAACAAAACATAGACTGTGAACGATTAGATTGCAGTTTGCAGACACGATGCGATTACAAAAATTAATATTTATATGACTTCGATTATCTGGCGCCCCACACCTAGCAGTTTGTTTGTCCTTGAAGAACTACTCAGATTACCCATTCTTTCAGCTCCCTCAACCCGTAAGAAAACGCTCGATAACTTTGGTAGGATCTTTAGAAATAAAACAGTTGACATGACAATTGATGATTCAAAATAAATGTAAATGGATGTTGTGATCGTCAGGTAAACAAAAATCATCGTATTTATCAGTTCCTGCGTCCTAAATACTTAAATCGAGTAAGTAAAAGCAGAATAAAAAAAACACATAGCTTAGGCTTAAGGCTAAACTTCTACGGAAGAAGCTATTTATCCCCTAACACTGGCTCATCTTGTGCGATATAAACTGCACAAAATCGCTACGGTAGAGAATTTGCGGATCCTCCTCGGTGGCATGCTCGTCCACCTGCCGTAGGTTCGTCCACTTCCAGAGCAGGCGTCCACAGTAGCTGTGTCTAAACGAGGCGAATATCTCGAGGGCCTTGTTGCTGGGTATCTGATCCTTGAAGTACGACTCCCTGGTCTTCACGTTGAAGTAGTACAGCTGGTTGTGGGAGCGCGAATGCGCCGACACGTAGTTATGGGTGAGCTCGCGGAACAGCAGCAGTCCACCGGGCACAAAAAACTTATTGTCGTCGTCGAGAGCATAGCCGAAGCGCTTCGAGTTGTCCTTCAGAACATAGCGCCGCATTTCGGCAAAGAAAACATCCAGGTCGCTCAGTGGGAAAAAGGGCTTGCTGCGCAGCGCCCCAACGGTGCGCTCCTTGCGATACGGCTTGTTCAGACTGCGGGCGTACTTGTCGCACATGCTAACCCGCTCTCGGAACGGCCGTCGGCGTATGTCGATGCCGCCCAAGCAAATCCCGTCGATGATGTGCAGGGCCGCCACCCGCTGGATGGTTCGGCCCTCGCCGTAGAACTCGTACACAATCTGGCCAAAGAAAATAGAGCGTGGCTGCACCTCAAACGGCGTCTCTACAAGCTCCCATTTCTTGTGCTCGGTGAAGCGCAGGAGATTGCCACGCGAACGACACAGGAACAGGGTGCAGGCATTGAGGTTGGTCTCCTCGCGCCCGACGGGCACAAAGTACCAGTTGGATACTTTCTGCACGGCGCTGTCCAGCATCGCCACGCCGCATAGCTCAGTCGGCGCCAGATTCATCCAAGTGCGATCCTTCGCCCAATCGGCCAGCAACTCCTCAAGCAAACGCTCGGTCGGCTTGATTTCTGGCGCCTGGCGCAGCTTGTCAGGCAGACTCCAGCGCTTAAGACATTCCTTCCGCACCTCCGACTGGCGTGTCTCCTTTAGCTCAGAATTCTGGGCGAAGGCGGCGATCTTCTGCAGGCCCACAATCTGTTTCCTCCCAATAGCATTGTTCGAATCGATAATATAGCGCAGGAAGTCCTCGTCTTCGGCAAGTTCCTTGGCATTGAAGATCTCCTGGACGTCGCTACCCTCGTCTTCCTCCTCATTGAGCATACGATTGACCGAGTTCAGATAGGCGGTTATGGCGGCCGTCTCCGCATCCGGGCGCTTATACTTGCAGACCAGGTAGCGCTCCGAATTGGCTGGCCTGCTACTGTTTGGCTTGATGATGGCGATCTGGTGGAAACACTTGTACATCAGATAGACCAGACCCACGCTGAACGGCGTGAAGAGGTCGAAGACTTTGCACACGAAGCTGCCGTTCTCGCGCAGTATCTTAAGGGCGGTAAGGAACTGGCAAAGGTACAGCTGCTTGGAAAGGATCTCCTGGATGTTCTCCTGACCCTCAACGGAGAAGCCACCGTCGGCCATGGCAAAGTGAACTCCCGAAGGAGTATGGCGACGGATGTATTCGTTTAACGAGTCCTGGTTGGACTCGTCAAATATATTCCCGTCCTCCTTATCGCCGTAGAAAGCATCAAAGGACTCGGGTGATGCGGCAAAGAACTTTTCCAGCTTGAAATCGTTGGCGCCGCGCAGGGTAAAGCCGAAGCCTTTGGCCTCCCAGGATTTGCGGAACAGCACATACTCGGAGAAACCGCCAGGGCCTGCAGCGAAAAGAGAAAAGAAAAATATATGAAATATTGAAGTTTGAGCTAAATTACATATTTGCCAAGAAAATTAACTTGTTGAAAAGGAAAGAAATAATAATAATAAACTTAAATGTGTTGGGGGTGCTTATTGAGTCGAAAAGTTGGATATGATAAAACAAAAACACGAGCCTAAAATCAAAAACAGAAACATTAAATTAAGTTAGTTAATTTATCTCTTTTTCCGGTAAGCTCTGAAGTCGCACTCGAATCAATGTTTATCAATAATGTTAAAGCTGGAAAAGATCTGAAATGGTGGCTGGGAGATATCGATTTTTATAAACAATATGGACGAAATCTGAGACCTAAACGATAATTCTTGTTTACATTTGTGCTTTGCTAGAAATGCATGATAGGGGCTTCAGTTACGAAAGATTATTTCCAACGGAAATATAAGTCAGCATAATCAGTAACTCTAGAGAGAGAGAGAGAGAGAGACTTGGTCAGGACCAGGACATAGACTTCACCTGCACACATATCCGTAAAATAGAGCAGCTCGTCGGCAGCCACCAGCGATCGGTCGTTGCTGTCGCGGGGATTGGTGAACATGTAGTCGCACATGGAGTCTATATTGGCCATTTTTACGGCGGCGCGATTGAGGAAGATGGAACTCCGTATGGTCTCAAAAGGGTTGCAGCGTGATCGCGCCCGCCTCTTTTCGCTATCGTTGAGATCATCAAACACCGTCTTGGCATCGAGGATGTGGTGCAGGATTGTGGGATCGCAGTAGAGGGTCTCTCCATCGAGCGTACGCTTCTTGGGGCCGAGCACAACGTGGCCCTGCAACTGTTCGGTGGTATATAACAGGGCACCGCCGCCTAGGTTGGTCAGCCAAAGCACTGGCTCCGGTATGTCCAACTCCTCGCGGTTGGGATCCCACTGGCCGCCGGCCAATGATGTGATTGCGTCTAGCTTAAGGCCAAAGCCGCGACGGCCGTCCTGCTGTACGGCGATGATCGGCTCGAGGCGACCCTGGTTGCTCTTGCCCAGACCCTTGTCGTTCTCGTAGCCCATCTTTTTCATCATCTCCATGGCCTTGTTCGAGTAGCTCTTCGACCACTCCCGCTTGATCTTCTTGGGCGTGGGCTCCGAGTTCTCATCGTCGGAAGGTTCGTCCACCATCTTGCCTGCTGGCTGTTGTTCTTCTTCCGCCGTGTTTGTTTTGCTGGCACTCAGCTCGGTGTTTGCCTGGGAACACACGCAACGGCGTTATCCGTTTATGTGGTTAATTTTGTTTATGATTTTTGGTATATGCACAGCGCGTGCGACCGTTTGACAAATGCTGAAAAATACCACAACGAGAATTGGCGCATGGCAAGAGCTGCTATGGGAGAAAAATATCGTAGTTTCGATATATACCGCACATAATACTCAGGTGTAATATATTAGCTAATTTAAAAATGAATGAACCTTTGTAGAAAACGTTCTTGATTCAATAATTATATATAATAGTAGTTTCAAATTCAAATTAATTTCAGATTAAATGTTTTTAAACCAAACAATACTTGAAAAGGTGAAATATGCAATGATTAATTCAATGATGCCAGGGACTCCTCCTACATCTTCTCGTACGTCTCGCTGTACGGACAGGTGAGGCAGGTGTGCGTGTAGGTGTCCTCCTCCTCGTTGTAGGTATCCGGACCAAACTCGTGCTGATGGATGGCGTGCGTCTTCTTGGTGTAGACGCTGCTGCGCACCTCCATGCGAAGCTGCTTCATCTGCTTGTTGTACTTGCGAGCCTTGCCCACCTCGCGCTTCTCTTCGCGACCTTCATGCTGGCGCACCAACTCCTCTTCGCTGCCCCACACCTCCAAGGCGCGCTTGAGGACCTGCAGGTGCAAATACAGCTTCATCTCTCCCCAGCGCACGTTATGCGGATTCTTGCGACTGATGTATCGCAGAGGTGGTTCGCGCTTGTCGAAGTCACAGTCCTTCAGCAAGTACTCAGCCTTGGCTTCTGTACGGGTGATGAGAGCGTGGCGCTCTTCGTTGTCCCGACACTTGTCGCACACGGGATGCCCGAAGTTGTTAAACAAGTAAGAGTCGGCAAACTGGTCACCGCATTCGGCGCACTCCTCGTAATGCACTGGAATGGCAATGGCGTCGTCTACGATAACGTTTCCATCGCTGACAGATGGCTTCTCTACTGCGCCCGAAGCGGACGACAAGACAGGCTGCTCCAGGAGAAAGCCACCGCCGCTGTCAATGTACTTTGTGCCCTGCACCTTGATCACGCCGGTTTGTCCCATGTCTAACATGGCCTCCGAATGAACGCCGTTCTTGTTGCTGCACGGGGCTAAAAGTTCAGATCAGGGAAAATATAGTAGAAATCACGTACCCACCTGCCCAGATCCTTGTAGGGATGCGCCACCAGCTTGGCTTCTCGCAACTTTTGTGCCTTTGCTTGGTTTCTCTCGATTCGCGCTTTCTGCGCATTGGTTAGCTTTGAGCTACTGGGAGTTGGTAAAGCAGCTGTATCTGCCCCCTCGTTGGACATTATGTAAATTTCTCAAGATCTCTAAAATTATTAATAATAGGCGCGTAATCGGCAATTCCAATTTGTAAACGTCTTCTTCCTTTTTCCTACTTGATCAGAGTGACCGCGGCATTGTCGATATAAAGTACCTTCCGGCTCTAATAAATATACTGAATATACCGCAAATAATAAACGGTATTTTGGACCACCTTTGGTCACACTGTTGTTGTGGCAAAACATGCAAAATAAACACTTGAAACTGCTGCTGCGGTGTCTTCTGGCCCTGCCCCTCATCCTGCTTGCCGATTACTGCGGCCTGCTGACCCACCTGTACGAATTGGACTATGAGCGTCACTTTCACTACCCGCTGCAGGATGACCACGCTGCTGCCACCTCGGGCGTTGGCAAGTACTCCTATTTGCTAATGCCCGCATTCACTTCGGAAGTTCAAGTGGAGCCGCCCCGACTAACGCTACTGATAAAGAGTGCAGTGGGAAATGTACGGCGACGCGAGGCCATCCGACGTACGTGGGGCTACGAGGGTCGCTTCTCGGATGTCCATCTGCGACGCGTTTTCGTTCTGGGCAGCGCCGACGAGAGCGAGAAGGACGTGGCCTGGGAGTCGCGCGAGCACGGCGACATTCTGCAGGCGGACTTCGTAGACGCGTACTTTAATAACACGCTGAAAACTATGATGGGCATGCGCTGGGCCAGTGAACAATTTAATAGCAGCGACTTCTACCTGTTCGTGGACGACGACTACTACGTTTCGACCAAAATGTTCTACGATTTTTAGGCCGAGGGCGCAAGAGCCATCAGCCAAATATGCTCTTTGCGGGCCATGTGTTCCAGACAGCGCCGTTGCGGCACAAGTTCAGTAAGTGGTATGTCTCGCTGGAGGAGTATCCCTTCGATCGCTGGCCTCCCTACGTCACTGCCGGCGCCTTTATGCTATCCCGCCAGGCCCTGCTCCGCCTGTATGCGACCAGTGTCCACATACCGCTCTTTCGCTTCGACGACGTCTACTTGGGCATTGTCGCACTGAAGTCAGGCATTCCGCTGCAGCACTGCGAGGATTTCCGCTTCTACCGGCCCAAGTACAAGGGTCCAGACAGCTACAGTGCGGTGATAGCCTCGCATCAGTTCGGCGACTCAGCGGAAATGGAGCAAGTGTGGAACGAGTGCCGGTCGGCAAACTACGCGTAGCAGAGGATCCGACAGCCAGTGTTTATATGGATGAGTCATGGCCGCGAACCGATGTTCCGCCTTATCAAAAATAATTATATGTAGATATCTTAGACAGAGTATCTTAATTTAATTTAAGCAGCATATCGTGAGCTTGTATTGCGTAAAATTAAACTTTAGATGTTACATTCAATGATAAATGAAAGGGAAAAAAGGGTCTCCGAAGTTTCAATTCAGAAATTATTTATTTGCTAGTTTTTAACGAATCAGCATACTACATTTTTATAGAATGGAAACTTCGGGAAGAAGTTTGCAACAGAATTGTAGGATCGAATCGTAAATTACCATTTTTCTACAAATCAAAGCTTAAAAAACTTAAAACTAAGCAAAATATAAAAACATTAATTTGTATTATTACGTAAACAGTTCTGCTTACTCAATTTAAATGTACAAAAATTAAAATTTGTATCAATTTTTCAAAAAGTTTAATTTTGAAAAAATGTGCAACATTTTTCACAGAGTTGCAAGCTTCTAACAAGGGCAATCGATCCTCTGTAAAATAGTTTTTCTTAACATTTTGTGAATTTTGTTTTTTAATTCAGTTCTGGACTGTGATTTGTTTATTGTTAATTACAAACATACAATCGACGAGAATTGAAATGTGTTTGTTTAAACTGTTCTTCAAAATAAAACGAATTAATGTTCGATAGTTCGGAACTAGTAGTCGATTGACTCTAACTGAATCGATAGTTTAGGTATCGATGCATCGAATGCACAATCGACTTTCTTTCAGCTCTATCCAGCGTAAATAACTATAAATTTCGGTTCGGGTTGTTGTTCTTTTTTTTCGTTCGTTAATAGCACGCTAAAACAAATAATCGAAGGTAAATACCGATCAGCTGAACAGCAGGTGATAATGCAAAAAGCGCCCGGGGCAATGCATAGGGCGGCGCATGGCTAGGAAAAATCTGGGCCAACGATCAAAAGTTACGGCTAGCGATAACAAGATAAAAAAAAAACCTTCCTCACGTACAATGGTGGAGGTACAGTGGAGACCGAAAAAAGCTGAAAAGTAGGAAATACTAGTTAACAGTGAGAAAACATGACGCATTATTTGCATTTGTAAATGTGTGTGTGCTAATGCGCGGGTCGCCGTGTGTACTTGTGTATGTGAGCTTGTCGGCAGTAAATACGGGTTAATTAACCAATTTTAGAGGAGAAAACGTTCCACAAACTGAAACTTATTTGGGAAATGCGTAATGTGCTCGAAATAAACAAAACAATCGAGAGGGGAGGGGGCAGTAATTTCACCAGCGTACACTCACACAAACGCAGACAGCATATCGAGCATTGTCCACCCCGCCGCCGCCGCCCATCTGCTTGCTATCGATATTAGCGATAACCGATAGAGCGTCATATGCATTTATTCGTTTTCCTTCCAGTCAGTTTCCCCGTAAAAAAATTGTGTAATATCCATTGGGGTTTTCTTTTTCGCCGGAAAACATGGCAATATGCAGCGAGTGTGGGTTTAATTAGAGACGGCATTGTTTTTATTTTTTTACCGCTTTTCTCCCTGAAAGTCAATTTGCATTTGTAATTTGAATCGAGTGCGAGAGATCGATCGGTAGCCCGAGGTTTTGGATCTGCATATATTTTGTAGATAAAATATACACAACTAAAGTTTTAGGATACAGTCGACAAAATCAAAGAACTTGGTTGTTATTGAATTTTAATCAAAGAAAGTGTTTTATTTATTAATGTTTAGTTTTTTGTTTAGAGGTTCTACATTAAATGCATTAAATTTAGTTAATAGGATTTATATACTATATAATATACTATAATATTATATTTAATATACTATTTAATATTGTTTAGCTTTTCACATAAAAAATACTTATTTGCTGACAAAATCACAGAAAAAAACACGACTTCCTATTTTTTCTCCATGCTTATTTTGACTTCTACTGTGGTTTTTCCCTTTTTTTAATCTTGCTTCCACCTTTCTTTTAATGTTCCTGCTTTTTTTGTTACAACAGCGAATGATTTATGGCAAAAAATCTTGTTATGGCGTAGGTTCGGGCTTTAAACTCTAAATTCTGATATCATTCGTGTTTAAAAAAAAAATTGGAAAATAAATTAGGCAATGGGAGCCTTGCTTAGAAAATCCAAAATCCAAACGAATAGTATTTTAATTAAATTTAACTGCAATTATAAAAATGCCACAAAGCCGTAATGCTTTATGTTATTAGCGTTTACGATATGTATCACGGCTGTACTATTGATGAAAATAATTGTATAAAACAAACCCACATTGATATTGTCGATGAAAAGTTATAATTCTTTATATTAAATTAACCAGAAATGTTCTGTGTAGTTGCATAGCATGCGCATTTTAATAAACGAAATAAAAAGCAAAATTAAATCCTATTTGTAAATGCTCCAAACCCCAGGAGACATTTAAGCCCTGCTAAGAAAATATCAATATTAACAATATATATCCGTTATTCATTAAATATATATATTCATATCCTAATAAATTCATTCTTTCAGTTAAGAGATCCCAACCAGCATTCAAACACCAAAATGCTTTCGCTGCAAAACCAACGGCAACCGAAGACCACTCCACTGGTGGACGATTACGAGATCTCGGACACGGTGCTGGGTCTGGGCATTAATGGCAAGGTGGTGCAGTGTAACCACCGTCGCACCAAACAGAACTATGCCCTTAAGGTGCTGTTGGACAACGAGAAGGCGCGGCGCGAGGTCGACCTGCACTGGCGCGTGAGTGGATGCCGGCACATTGTCAATATCATCGATGTGTACGAGAATACATACAGCGGACGGAAGTGCCTGCTGGTCGTCATGGAGTGCATGGAGGGCGGCGAACTGTTCCAGCGCATTCAGGACAAGGCGGACGGCGCGTTTACGGAGCGAGAGGCAGCCCAGATTATGCACGAGATCTGTGAGGCGATAGACTACCTGCACAGCCGGGATATCGCTCATCGCGACCTGAAGCCGGAGAACTTACTGTACACCACTTCCCAGCCAAACGCAATTCTTAAGCTGACGGACTTTGGCTTTGCCAAGGAGACATTCACCAATGACACGCTGCAGACGCCCTGCTACACGCCCTACTACGTGGGTGAGTGACCTTTACCCGAAGGGGGGATTTCTCCTAATGAGAGGTACATTTGGGATGTCTGTATATCGATAGAAAAATATTTAATATGAAATATTTACGCTCTAAATTATTGCCAATTGAAAACATTACCCATTTTAATAGCTTTCGGTATAAAAAAGGAATCACCTTGACTTAACACATTTCATGATCTTAAAATAGTCAGTTTCCCAAATAAGAGGTTTTTATATCCATCACACGATGATTTAAACTTCAGCTTAAATTTAAATTTAGATGTATTTCTTAGTAACACACAATTTCGTATATTTATTTATTTTTATACCCTTGCAGGGTATTATAATTTCAGTCAGAAGTTTGCAACGCAGTGAAGGAGGCACCTCCGACTATATAAAGTATATATATTCGTGATCAGGACCAACAGCCGACTCGATCTAGCCATGTCCGTCTGTTCTACGCAAACTAGTCTCTCAGTTTTGATGCTATCTGAATGAAACTTTGCAGTTAGTCTTCTATATACTCTCACTCGTATATATGTCGGAAAGGGCCGGATCGGACGACTATATCATATAGCTGCCATAGGAATGATCGGAAAATTTTTACAAAAAAAATTATAACATTTTTAGTTTTCAACAGAATTTAATCAAATTTGAGATATAGCCATTTCATATTATTCTACAATTTTTTGTGAAATTTTGTGAAAATCGGACGACTATATCATATAGCTCCCATAGGAACGATCGAGAAATTAATTCAATTAAAAAGTATAACATTTTCAGTTTTCAACAGATTTTCATCAAATTTGATACATAGCCATTTTATAATAAATAAAAGAAGTTAATAAAATTAAAGATTATAACTTCTTCAGTTTTCACCAGATTTTCATCAAATATCATTTTATTTTAATCTAAATTTTGTGTAAAGTTATAAAAAAAACCGGACTACTATATCACGAACGATCAAAAAATGAATACAATTAAAAATTATAACGTTTTCAGTTTTCAGCAGATTTTCATAAAATTTGAAATATTGCCATTTTATATCAGTCTTAAATTTTGTTGCAAATTTTATGAAAATAGGACGACTATATCACATAGGTGCCATACAAACGATCGTTAGATGTGGAGCAAAAATGCAAATCTGTGAATGTAAAACTGAAAATATAATATGTATAGGTGAATGAAATGAGAGCAGGTATTACTTCATTGTTTTTTTTTAACATTAATATATATATTTTATATTGTATGGAAGGAATCCAGGAAGTCATCGAAGTTCTATCTGCAAGGGTATATAAACTTCGGCGTGCCGAAGTTAGCTTCCTTTCTTGTTTTTTTTTTTGTTTTCATTTATTTTCTTTATAGTATTCACCCTTTTGCAACATAGCGAACTTTCGTTGCCTTTAAAATCTATGATCTACCTGTAACAGTAAAACTTAAACCTAAAAATCTAAAAAAAAAAACAAAGTAATAAACAAATGAGTAAAAAAGTTGTAATTGTCCAAAAGTCCACCTATATAAATATTTATATATTTAAAAATTATAGACTTTTATGTTTTCTGTATTGTGTTTCATTAATTTCCACAGCTCCCGAGGTCCTCGGTCCAGAGAAGTACGACAAAAGCTGCGACATCTGGTCGCTGGGCGTGGTCATGTACATAATCATGTGCGGCTTTCCGCCTTTTTATAGCAACCATGGCCTGGCTATTTCGCCAGGCATGAAGAAGCGAATACGCACCGGCCAGTACGATTTCCCAGATCCAGAATGGACGAACGTCAGCCAGGCGGCCAAGGATCTGATTAAGGGCATGTTGAACGTGGATCCTAGCAAGCGGTTGCGCATCCAGGACGTTATCCGCAACAAGTGGATTGCCCAGTACAATGCCGTTCCCCAGACGCCACTTTGCACGGGTCGTATGCTAAAGGAGGGCGAGGAGACCTGGCCTGAGGTGCAGGAGGAGATGACGCGCTCTTTGGCCACCATGCGCGTGGACTACGATCAGGTTGGTTTTCTCTCTGGTTGGGCGAAGTACATATGTACATATCATACCAGAAAAGGTAGCTTAATTTCTTTTCTTAAGGTTAAAAATGTATAATCCAGTTTGCAACTGAACGAAAAGCTTTTGTTTCTGATAATTATTATTATTATTTTATTTTTTTTTTTTTTTGAGGTAAAAAATCTTCATGCTCAGTTTATCCTAAGTTCTTTCGATTAACAAACAATATTGATTTAGACATGTAATAAGGTTATTTCATGCTTCTGATATTTGATCCTATTTTTAGATGCAAATCAAGGCGCTGGACAAGTCAAACAATCCGCTGCTGACGAAGCGCAGGAAAAAGATCGAGGAAATAGATCTCTCTCTGTCGCGAGAGAGAAAGAGAGAGTTTTAACACGAGCGGATAAACGTTGTACAACTGCTTTACACAAAACAAAAAGGATACTACTTATATTTACTACTTCAATGACGACAGCAGCAGGAAGGCCAGAAAGCGACAACCACTACTACTATTAAAACAACAACCTCTGCGAAATCCGCTCCAGGCTATTTTACATATTACGTTACGTTTTCTTTTTTGTCCCCTTTATATGTGTAATCCATATTTCCAAGTTAAAGGTTCTTAGGGTATTTTGTAGTCTGAAAAGTTCTATTTTTTGTAAAAAAAAATGAAACTATAAGCCAAGACCGGGAAGCCTAGCTAGCCAGCCCCCAGTTGCAGCTGGATAAATGCAGAATTTTCGATGCCTCGGAAATGTTTTATTTCCCATTTTTTTTTTAACATTATTGATAATATAAATTTTTTCGTGTACGTGACTTTGATTATACAATTGTTTATGTATGTATATCGTTGTGTATATGTATGGTATGGTATATAATTCAGGATGAAGAAAACAAGAATTAAGCAAAACAACAAACAATTATAAATTAAACATTAAAGCAAGGAACTTCTGTGTTGGTTACAATAACATTTATTTTAGCTAACTCTGCAAGCGATATACCATTTTACCGTATAGCGTCTTTTGTAGGCTATAAACTAAATAACAAAAAGAAAGCCCCAAATAAATAAATAATTATAAAACAAACTTATTTTACTATAATTAAAATCACATGGAAATTGTTTTATTTCGGGAAACATCTTTTTCACGCTTTAAAAAGAGATACATCGATAAATCTTCCTTGGAGTTGGAGCAATTGTCAAAATTTTATAAAAATGTAAATATTTTTAATTTAAAAACTCAAAAAGCAGTTTATTATTATTTTGCTATCCAAATTTAAATGAATGCATTTTCGGTTTCTGATATCTAAAAAACTTTGATTTACAGAGTATTTTATATTTACAATACCTAGAATATAAATATTTAAAGTCTTTTTGGGAGGCATAAAAGGCAATGATTCCCAAAAGAAATATATATTTCCATTTGTAATCAAAGTCTTAATCAATAATGAATAAAACATTTGAAAAAATAAATTCAACAATATATTTAACTTAACTTTGAGAAATAACAAAATAACTTTGAGAAACAACAAATCCAGCAACAAAAATAAAAAACAAATGAAATTTAGCGAATCCGCGATATAAAATTTCTTAAGCTCTACCAGGCAAACAGAACATTCAGCAAGCAGCTATTCCGCTGATGCAAATGCTCCAAAGTAACGGTTCTTAAAAGTTGGGAACGTAAAGATCGTGTTTGATTGGTCTAATCAGATGTAAACAAAGGGCGGCCATTAATTTCAAAGTCCTAAGTAACGGATCTTAGATGAGACGAACTTGAAGAAAACCTCTGATTGGTCTAATCAGATGTAAACAAAGGGCGGCCATTAATTTCAAAGTCCTAAGTAACGGATCTTAGATGAGACGAACTTGAAGAAAGTTTCTGATTGGTCAATTCAAAGAGCGGCCATTAGGATTTGGAATGCTGGTGTAGTGCTGCTGAGATGCTGCCAGCCGATTCTGTTTGCCTGGTATACCAAAGTCGTGGAATTGTTAAATTTGACCGATTTAAAGCCCATATTTAAAACAAATAACAACAAATCCAACAACATACACCACAAAATTAACGAAATTCGCCATACAAATTTCTTAAAACTCGACTTTAAACACCAGGCGAACAGAATATTCAGCAAGCAGCTATTCCCCTGATGCAAATGCTCCAAAGTAACGGTTCTTAAAAGATGGGAACGTGAAGATCGTGTCTGATTGGTCTAATCAGATGTAAACAAAGGGCGGCCATTAATTTCAAAGCCCTAAGTAACGGATCTTAGAAGAGAGGAACTTGAAGATCGTCTCTGATTGGTCTAATCAGATGTAAACAAAGGGCGGCCATTAATTTCAAAGTCCTAAGTAACGGATCTTAAATGAGACGAACTTGAAGAAAGTCTCTAATTGGTCAATTCAAATGTAAACAAAGGACGGCCATTAGGATTTGGAATGCTGAAAAGCTCTGTTACAATTTGGCGTTATCTCAATACCATTGCCATGTTGTGCTGCTGGATTGCTGCCATCTCTTTCCGATTCTGTTCGCCTGGTATATCATAAACGTGAAATTGTGAAATTTAAGAATCAGGCTGATTAAAAAAAGCGCAGTCGGGGGGCTATGCAGATTTATTTATTCTAATGGAATCTGACATGGGACGATTTCCGAATTTAAATTAATGCTTTTATTACTTAGTTATGTGTGCATCAAACTTTAATTTGTTACGAAAAATTTTAATATAAATAATAGATAAATATCGGCTCAAGGAATGGTAATATAGTTTCAGTCGGAAGCTTGCAGAGTAGTGAGGAGTCATTTCCGACCCTATAAACCATATATATTCCTGATCGGCATCAACAGGCGAATCTTTCTGGGTATAAAATAGAGAAACAAATTTTTTTTGGCATTTTTTCAACAATTTATAAGGGGTTGTTACATCGTTAAAATGTTCATAAATTGATAAAAATGTCAATTTTTTTACATTTTAAACTGAGTATGCTTATTCGAAACTAGCTCAGAACAAACTTCCGTGTCGAAATTTAATTGAGCTATGAGTTTTTTAAGCTGTGGTTTGTACAAAAACCATATATATTCTTGATAAGCATCAACAGGCGAAAAAAAAATATATATAAGGTTACATCGTTAAAATTTTCAAAAATTGAATAATTTAAAATTTTATAAATTGATTTATCCTTAAATTTTAACCAATTGAAAATATGATCACGCAGATTTATTAACCTAATAAAAATTAACTCAGAAAAGTTTTCCCAACTTAATTTAATTGTTTTTTTTATGGATTTCGCATTGGAAATAATTCACTTTTGGCTCTTCATTTGACGCTTTTCAATGATTTTTATCACTCCAACGGCCAAAATCGCGGCCTAACCGTGGTAATGAAAAGTCCTATGAGTAAGCGTTGTGTAATTTATTATTCAATATCCATGATCAACAGTGGTGCAGCTCCTATAGGCATGCTTATACATATGTGTACCATTTTTATTATCAACATCAGGTAAGCTTGGGATTGGGAAAAGGATCAGGAAATGGATGGGACATGGGATCGAGTGCATTTGCAAATAACAATATGCCAACAGAGACTCGCACCTCTGAATGTGTGGTGGTGCCGAAAGAGAGCTCCTCTCCGGCTTGGCTTCGAGTTGGCGGCTTAAAAAACGGTACCAGCTAAAGGCTACGACTAAGACAATAGTTAACATTTCACGTACATCCATCTCACTGCTATGTATGTATTAGGGACGCCCATCGCGGGGAAAATATGGAAATTGTCTATCGATAAGTATATCGCACTCAAAATCATATTTAAACAATCGAAATCTTTGATAAATTAAAATTGAAATATCGAAAAATATAGCATTTAACGATATTATCGAAAAATTACATAAAATTTTAATTTTGTTACCCCCTTTCATTTATATTTGTGCGATCTATCAATTAGAATATCTATTAATCGAATTTATATATATATATATAAATAATATTGCATTTAACGTAAAAATATCGATAAAATAAAAAAATATCCCAAGAATGCATTTTGAATTGTTTGTTTCTCTGTTCGCTATATTGTTGCTATATCCGGCTGTTGACATCGATATTCCCCGACATCCCTAATGCGTGTGCTACAGATTCGTTAGTGATTCGTTTCGTCTTCCAAAAATTTCCTTGTGATGTGATGTTCTCTGATTTATCATTTATCATTTATCATTGATCATCCTTTCATCGTTTATCATTTGTTTAACTTTAGATTTGCTTTTTGTTGCATTGGCTATCAATTTACAAAAAAAGTGAGAGAAAAGTCGCTTAGAAAAATACATTTGGTTTATGTTTGTGTCTCTTGCTGTCTTCGCCTGGATTTCCTCTGCAATGTTCTCTAGCCTTATTTTTAGTGTAATAATGGCAGATATCGACATTTACCGTATGTATGTGTCTCTATGTGTGTAGGCTCCCGGATGTCCCTATGTCCGTAGTTCTTACTCGTTCCATTCGATTTCTTCCTTATCTCGTCTCCTCGCCTCTGTTCTGTTTTAGCTATAGTTTTGTAAACTGAAGGTACATTATTTTTGTATCAATTTCATAATCCTCCTCTTCATCTTTTGAGGTCCTGCTCTCTTCTCTGTCTAGAGGAAGCTGTCGCAACTGTTCTCCGCCTCGCTGTTGGAGCAATCCATGGCGGGCAGCGAGACGCCACGACGATAGACCCACTGTCGCTGTTGCTGGTGCTGGTATCCACGTGAAGTGGCTGCCGGTTCACAGCTGGCGGTGGAACTGGTACACCCGTTGCCGCTGCTCCCGCTCCCGTTGCCGCTGCTCCCACTGACGACGCTGCTGCTCATGTGGCTGCCACGACGTCGAGATGTGGACGGAGTGTCGGGCGTAGCGACAGCATTAAGCCGCGGGAAGTACTTGTACATCTCCAGAAGGTTACCCAGCTTGATGTGCGGCTTATACTCCACATCCTCCAGCGACTGGGCGACCGAGCTGCTGCTGCTCAGTGGCGTCCAGAAGGTGAGGCCCAGCTGGGCCAGGTGGCCTCCCTAAAAAGTGATTTATGGTTAGCTTACCTTCGAACAGAATACAAAAAATTATGAATGATGTTCACCTTGATGTCCGTTTCCAGTTTGTCGCCAATCATGGCACACTGGTGCGGCTTCACGTTGAGGAAATTGCAGGCGGCATAGAAGATCTCCGGATGGGGCTTCTCCCAAGGCAGATCGGAGGACACCAACACGCAGTCAAAATAGCCGCGCACGTGTAGCTTAGCCACTTTTTCCCACTGCGCATTCGAGGGCCCGTTAGTGATGAGGGCCAGAACATAGCCCGCCTGGCGCATACGCACTAGCAGCTGGACATAGTCGGCAGGAACCGCCAGATAACGATAGCGTAAGCGCAGCCACTGCGGATATATCTGCTCGGCAAGGTGCTTGTGTCGCGGCGGCAGCGATTCGCGCCACAAGTGCGTCCGCCACGAGTCCAGCGATGTCTGCGAGTTATCCGGACACCGGCGAAAGGACTTGAGAAAGTTTTGCGTGGACAGGCTGGCGTCATCCTTGCTAAACTGATACTGCGCCTCCAGAACGTCACCGAGCTACAGTCGGGGATCAGATAGAGAGGGCGAGATCGGAAGAGCGTAATTAGCGGTTGTTTAATGTCATGCGATTGTCCAAGCAGTAGTAATGCTCTATCAGGTCTCTAATCGGCCCACAATCTCGGATAACTAGTATGCATATAAAATACAATATAATATGATATAATATATTATGTATCAGGTTTTTCGTATCGTTCTATTCAAGGCACTTTATATTAGCAATCAGCAATGTCTTTTTAAAAACAAGCATTTAAATATAAATCTTCTTTTAAACAAATTATATAATAATAGATACTGTCAGAAAAATATTGTTTTGCCAACACGGTTAGATAGACACAGCTTTTATGCTGATCAAGAAGATGTATACTTTATAGGATCAGAAATGGCACCTTTACTGCGTTGCAAACTTCTGATTAAAATACTTTCCCACAAGGATATAAAAACAAGATTGCGGCTGGGTGATTGCTTTGCCCCAAGCTGATTCTGGGCACCCGGGATACTATGAATAACAACCTGCAAATGCCACATAATGTTTCAATCTATTTCAATGGCCCTTATTCATATATTTCCGACAATTGCTGACTTGATTTCTGTCCCCATGTCTCTATCAGTTTGTGTAAATACAAACAAAGTGCAAGTGGAAGTATATCAGGATTATCATAAATTTAATAAATTAAATAATTTAAATAAAGCAATAAATCAATTTAAAATTAACAATTTTCCTAAGCTCCCTGATGATAATCCGAGTGTCAAGCATATGATAATTAATATCTCTGAACTGAAAATCAAGTTTGCTTATCGTTGCTTTCTATGAATAAACATATTTTTAACTTAATTTATATATTTTATGTGTAATTTTATGAGATTTTATTTGCTGTTTTAATATATACCGGTATTATCTGTTTTAATTATTTGGAAACGAAATGAGGGTCAACGTCTGATAAAAAAAAACAGAAAAGAGAAAGAAAAGAATTGTTTTATTCTAATTAAAGCTGTAATTTAAGATTCTTCATACTTTTTGAGTATTACCAATTAAGTCAGAACCTTTAAGCACTGCAAAAGAGTCATTTACGACCCCATAAATCATAGATATTCTTGATCAGCGTCAACAGTTAATTTTATAAAAATTTTAATTTTTTCTAATTTTTAACAGAGCATGTAGATTTATTAGCTTAATAAAATCAAACACAGGAAAGCTTTTCGAATTTAAATGTATGCTTGTTTGATGGTGTACTTATGATATTTTAAAGCTCGGATTTCTAGACAAAAAAATGTGATATATTGATTAAAGAAATGTATATACATATATTTTAATTGTAATTTCGAGATCTATATTTTTTTAAGTGGCGACAAATTCTGATAATTCTGTTAAATACATATATCCGCTATAATCGGAAAGAGACAAAAATTGTAAGTAAGATCCCTACCCCCCGTAAAGTGAATATTTAATGTTAAATAAATGCATTTCCCTGAAATAAACGGATTTATTTATAGCCTGATATCTTATGTATTTTTGGGGCTACAGATAATGAACGACTTCCTCAAGTGCCTTTTAAATGAGAAATTAAGGCTATATTACATATAATCTGTAAAGTAAACAAAGTATTTTTGGACGCCGCAAAAGTCTTACAGCTGGAGACCTTGCAAAGTGCATGTCTTGCGTGCCGAAAAAAATAACAATTACTTCAGTTTCGGGCGCGTGCTATCAGCTGGGAACCCAGTGGGACGGACGGTCAGAGCGCGGAAGAAGGGGCGTCCGGGGTTTCTCGACTACGTAACAGCGACAGCGGCGACGGGCTGCAGTGGAAAATTTTCTAGCTGCCTGCTGCGCACTTTCACCCCCGAATTCGGAGATGCTCACGGAGAGCGGAGAGCGTGGAAGGTAGACCGTGGCGTGCGTAGAGTGGACTGTGGAGCGTGTACTCTAACTCACCTTGCGGATGGCCTTTAGGTCGCCGGCCCGCGTAGGGATCAGCGTATTGTCCAGGTCAAAGTAGAACGCGGAGATCTTCGCACATGTCGCCTCGAAATGTGTGGTCTGCTTGGCGGAACTGGAACTGTATTTGCTAGCTGCCATCGGGGCCTCGGCCAATAAGACTCAACTGTGGGGCAGGGGCGCGCGGCGGGAAAGCGAAAGGAAATGCGAACGGGAACTGGGAAGGAAGCCAACGAGGACTACAACTAAGATGCAGTTTCGAAATTGGCGCCAAGGCACACCGACGACAACTTGTTCTGCCAAATAAAAAAAACACGGACCACTCGTGACGGCGGAGTTCAAACTGGCTAGCGGAACGACTAAGAGAACAGGTGAATAGTAATGGCCATGGCAAGCACATTAGAGATGCAAGTTAAATCGATTCTGCCCTTATCGATAGGTATTCATCGGAGCAGCGGACAAGGTGCGAGCGAGAGCAAGGATAAGGATGCCACTGTTTAGGTACTCGGCTTGTGCGTCAGAGCGAGACAACGGTAGTGGCAATGGTGACGCTAATAAAGTGCAGCCGCCGTCATTTAAAAAATTTGTATATCTGTCGTTTTTCAGCACTGCCCTATCGACAGTTCCGGGCGATAGGTTTTGGCAAAAGAGTGGCATCTCCGCCTTTTGTCTCGAAATTTGTATGACTTTTGGTTGATTTTTGTATTTCTTTGGTTTTGTTTTCATAAAAAAGATGGACAAGAAGGAATCAGGCGTGGAGGCTTTTGCGCCAGGTAAGTGTGCAACAAATACCCGAAGAGCGTAAATGAAAAACGCACCTCTTGCCCATAGAAACCATACAGAAAATGGACGAGGATGCTGCCGCAGCGGCGGCCGTTGATTCTGATGCGTCGCCAAGCAAGAAGATGTTGATTTCCGCTACGGAGACTTCGGAAGAGAACAAAGATGTTCTGGGGATGCATGAGGATGAACTTATTTCGCAGGAAACGCTGCGCGCCTCACCCATCCAGTGGCCGGAGCGCTGTGAGTGTAGAAAACGTGATCACCTTCGCACATTGGCGCCATATTTAACGTTCTTTCTCGTTTCAAGTCCCCGGAATGGAGGAGTTTCTTACCATGAGCGACACGCCCATCTACACGCCCACCATGGATCGTAGCAACAATCTTACTACCGAAGACATAGCCCATATGAATCGTAAGTAGAGACATGACCATTCAAGCACCCGCAATGCGGACTAATTTCCGAGCTAATATATGTTCAATATAAAGTTCAAGTTGTTCTGGGTCTAGTCAGGGATTTTTAAATGAAATGTTTAAATTGCTTGTTATTTTTTTCGCAGAGCTGTCCCAACTGGAGCCAGATCAGCTGGTGGAAAAAATTAAATCGTTACAGGATGAGATCTACCAGCTGGGGCTGCGGGAGGCCAAGGAAATGACCCGTGGCAAGCTGCTTGGCATCTTCGACCGTGACCAGCTGCCCAAGCGTCAGTCGTAGGAGGATCTAGTCCCTGAATGATTAAGCCCTAGTTTTAATGTAAATAAACGTTATGCGTTTCGTAGTGTGTAATGGTACGAATATAGAGTATTATAGAAAAAACAAAGACCAAAAAGAATGACAGAACCAGTAACTAACGTTTATTTTGTCCATTATAGCACTTTGCGGGTTCTACAGATACACATGCGAGCAGAAGTCGTGAAGGAGGAGCGGAAAGGCACAGTTTATTGGGCGATTCTCTCTCTAACGCAACAAGAAACTCTGTGGGGAATGTGTATATATACATGTATATCATTATCCTGCGCTTCTTGCTACTCCTGCCACTGCATTCCAAATCGCTGCTCAAATGTGATCCGATTGTACACTCCTGCATCGGCCAGCTGCATCGGATCGGTGTAATAGGCAAAGCGCCGTATGTCCAGCATCGCCACATCGAACATCTGCTTCCAGCTGGTCAAATCCGTGACGCTCATGTGGATCGGCAGCTGCGGATCCGGTATATCAATGGCTGCCTGCAGCCGATCAAAGGCTTCTGCTATGGGTCCCACCGACAGATTCACCCAGTACTCGGCCGGAAATCGCTTGTTCTCGCAGAACGGCGCCCCCTTGCGCATGATGAAGACCAACATAAGGATTTCGTACCGCTCAGAGCTCTCGTAAAAGCGCTTGGTGCGTGTCTTCTCCACGAAATCGATGAGCAATATCAGTGGCGTGTAGTTCTGTAGGTGCATGAGCAGCTCCCTGTCCGTCCACAAGTAGCGTCCACCCGCCCCACCACCTCCGCTTCCCTTCATACTAAGCATGCTTATGTGGCCAGATAGTTGCTGATGTTGCTGTTGCTGCTGCTGTTGCTGTTGCTGTTGCTGCTGATGTTGAATGCCTGCTGCGGCTGTGACTGATGGTACAATTAGTGGTGCTCCGCTGCTGGTTGCCACCTGGCTGGGCATGGCGACCACAATGCCCGTCTGTCTCTGGCAGCCAATCTCCTCGACCATGTGCTGTCCTCTGCTGCAATGACGACAAAATGCAATTAAGGCAAGTGACCCCCAGTAGCCAGTAGTTCTAAGTAGGCCAAGGTCGGATCGGGAAAGGTGGTGTGTGCGTTACTTGTTGCAAATGCAATCAACTTACGTTGAAAATTAGATGAGCAATGAACGGGAAGCTGGAGCGGGCTGTGAAGCTTAGTAGGCGGTGGCACTTTAGGCTACAGGTATAGCTATACCTTGAAGCTATTGGCTTGTCAGCCTTTCAGCTTTTCAAGCAGCTGCTGCTGCTGCTGCTGGAAGGGCCGTGTGCGTCCTGGACGATTGTTGCCACGCGAGTGCCAAGTCGCAGCAGCAGCAGCGGCTCGTAGCCATTCGGGCTACTCACGGGTGTTACTCGGTTTACTCGGGACGCGGACTCGGCTCCCAGTTTGGCAATGAACTTATTGGATGCGACGCGCTGTGGCCTGCACTTGGCAGATTGGCCTGGCTTGGCAACAAGCAACAAGCAAAACTGGCGAGTTCCTAAAGGAATAAAATATTTTATAGAACGAAACAAATAATACAATCAAAAGTACTTCAAATTGGAACAAAAATTATAATTAATTACAAAGTATGTGAATTAAAAAAAAATAATATTAATAAAGGGCAACAATTTAACGATTTCATATATCCGAGCAATTTTAAAAGGTTAAATTATTAGAATAATAAATATAACGTATAATTCGCAACGAAGTCACATCATCTCCCAACGCCTGACGCCCTCCATCCAATCAACCCCAATGCCAGGTGATAGGGGTCAGGACCCTTTTTCTTGTTGCCTTACACCCCCAAGAGTTTAAAAACATCTTACGTCCGTGTCCTGAAAATGTGCTTTACACATTTTAAATTAGCGTTGTCCATATCTCCGTTTCGCAGTCTGTTCGTATTTTACTTCACTTACTGTAGAGAATTAGGTTTTTGATTTTGATCATTTTAACCTACTAGAAAACCATTTGATAAACTTTTAAACTTTAAGAAAATATATCTAAAATTAAATTAATTTATCGAACTTTTCGTTTTTCGAGCTGTATATGATTCCCAAATTGCATTATAATAATTTAACCATCAAAAATATGTATTTTCTTTAAGAAATAATTATTTATAAAGATTGCAGCACAAAATTGATTTTCTGCTTACAAACTAATTTATACAATTATATTTTTATTTTTAAAGAACAAAAAATAGACATTTATACATACAGAGATGGACTTAGCAGGACTCTAACTGGGACATCCGTCGATCGAACTCGGGCTTGTGCTCGTTCTTGAGAAAGCGGCGCATCCCGACAAACAGAAAGCGCAGCTGGGGACCCACAAGCACCTTGAGGAGCACCTGCATCAATTGATCGAAACTTTCTCTGGTACCATTCTTGTATTCGATCAGAGCCTTGCCAAAGTCCCGGAATTGATCACGACTAATCCGGCTGCGCACCTGATTAGATAAATAATTTGTATATGTTTTCAGATATTTTTTATATATTTTGCAGCTAACCTCCCGCAAAAAGTCGGCTCTCTCTTCGGGCGCCACCTTCACTTGGGAACTAACTGTCTCTGGCTCCGCCTTAACCTTGTTGTAGTGATGTATATCGAGGGGGAAAAATCGTTTTTATACCATATATAATACATTTAAGTTTAGATTTATAAATCGTATGTTTGCACCTACCTTTATGTTCTCCACCAGCTTGTAGCGTTTCTTGGGTGCCTGTGTAAAACTGCCACCCGTCTTTGGCGGCGTGGGCGAGCTGCGCTCTCGCTTGTGGATCTTTACCAAACCAATTTTGCCGCTGCTATTGTCGTCCGAGCAGCTATTAAAGTCGATACTCTGGTTAGGGAATAAATAAATAAAAGATAAAATTTAATTTAAATTGAACACCCGACACACACCGAAACATTGGAGTCGAGGCGGCTCATAAAGTCCATGGCATTGGGTGTCGCTGCTCCGCCAGTGCCCAACTTTCGCCCAACAGCCTGTGCATAGTCATCGGGCGTCCACGTCTTAATGGAATTGGCCATCTCCACTTTCCTAAAGAGAGAAGAAGAAGAGCCCAAGTAGCGGTAAGCTTGTAGTCTTCTTTTTCTCCTTCGAAATACAAACATTGCGGTTTCATTCGCTGTCTTAAAGGAAGAACTGCAGCCCGGCTCTCGCTTGATCTTTGGAATAATGGCCGCCAGGGGCTCATCCTCCTCCGGCTTGCAAACCGTTTGCAAAGGTGGCTCTGAATCTCGTTTATCTGGCTGCTTCATCTGGGTTTTAGGGAGAAAAATAGAGATAATCAGATAGTGAGAGAGAAATAAGAGTAGATCCCTCTACTCACTGTGGCCTCGGCATTCTTGAAGAACTGACGCAGCTCCCGGACAATGGGACCGAAGGGCGAACACTGCGGCCGATCGCCAAGGTGACCACGTATCCATTTGGACAGTTGCTGCACCTGGGATTGGAGATTCCGAGAGGAAAAGTATGACATGAATGGAATAATATAATATAGAAAATATGCAATCGCTTGATATATAGTAATCGGAAATAATGAAAAATGAATTTTGTTGATGCATAAAAAAGAACTTTGGGAAACAATGCTCCGATTACAACAGCACTAGGACGAATTTAAAATCGATCAGATCTAAGCCAAAAAAGCCATTAATATTAGTTCTGAATTTCACAGTTTAAAAATTTAAAATTTATTTCAATTTTAATAATGTAACCTCTTATAAAATTTTGGAAAAATGGCAAAAGACTCGCCTGTTAATGCTGATCAAGAATATATATGATTTGTTGGATCGGAATTGACTCCTTCACAGTGTTTTAAGCTTCTGACTAAAATTATAATACCATTCTTTGAGCCGATATTTATCTATATTTTTATATGACAATTATTTCTAAAAATCAAAAAACAAAAAATCTTATAACTAAGCCAAAAAAGAATTAATTTCAATTCGGGAATCTTTCCTATGCTAGTTTATTCAAGGTTAATAAATCTGCATACCCCTTTAAAAATTAAACAATATAATTCTAAAAAAAAATTACCAAAATTTGTTCCTTTACGATTTATCGGCTTTTCTTACCTGAGAGGCATCTTTAAAACGTGAATCGCACAGCAGAATGGCGCCATAGTCATTGCGATGACGGATCACTCTGCCGATGGCCTGGTTGACGGCCCGCGTGGCATCCAAATTATACCATTCCTGGCCGCTTAGAAGCTGGTTTTCCCGCGTTCGATTTGCCTCCAGGTAGCGTCGTTTCAGTATCACCTTGGGGTCCTTCAGCGGCGGGAAGGGCAGTCCTGTAATGATGACCGCCCGTCCGTTGCGATCGGCAAAGTCCAGACCCTCGGACACCTTGCCGCGACAAACGGCCATGAAGACGGCGCCCTTAGAGTCGCGAATGGCCTGATAGAACTCCTCCATAGTGCTGGTGAACTGATCCTTGCCCCGCGGCTCCAGAAAGATGGGTTTCTTGGCTACAATGTCTGCCCACAAACCACTAGCCTGCCACGAATCAACGCACTTATTGAGCATGGGATACGAGGGGAAGAAAACCAGTAGGCCGTCGGGAACGATACGCGACACATTCAAAATGGTCTGGCCCAGGGAGCTGATATACTTAGGATTGTCCCTGGAAAATACAGAGGTGTTAAAGAAAAGGAATTGGGGACTCGTCAAGCTCACCGATTGGTGTAGTTGGATATGAGCTGCTGTCGATCGGGACCAGTTCCAATGATTTTGACATACACCTGAGATTGATCGACTATATGCGGATTCTCCAAATGCTGGGCCACCGGTATTGCCAGCTCGGCGATCAATGGCTTAAGCGGAGCCAGGGTGCCGCTGGTGAGAATCACGCTGCGCACTTGGGTATTAAGCAGCTGTTCCATGCCGAAACCAGGGTTGAAGCACCAGAAATTCACTATCTTGGCCTGCTTAGAGCTGCTTGTGGTCAGTGTGCCTTTGCTAAGCCAGCCCCCCTGCGCCTGCTTGTTACCGGGCTTTCCCTGACCCTGCTGTCCTTGCTGCTTCGTCTCCTCCAGTTGGACGTGCACCTTGAAGCTGGCGTACACCTTGCTCATTACATCCTCTTTGTTGGCAAAGACAATGGTCAGGAGATCACTGAGCAGGGTGAAAGTGCCGCCCTTCCTAATGCTCATCTGCTGCGAGGCCACCATCAGATACTGCACGAGCTTGTCCAGCAACGACACTATGGTGGCCACATTGCCATAGCTGAACTGGGGGAGAAGCTAATAAGAGGAAAGCAAGGAGGAAGGAAGAGGCGATGCCACTCACATTTGCCTTGCCCAGCAGCTCGTACATCATCGTGGCCGGATAGGTGGTGCCCTCGGTTACATTGTCCACCACAACGGCATCGATGGCCTTTTCCAGTTCCAGCAACATTTCCTTGAGCAGCGTCAGATCGTCTAGGGTAAAATCCTTGGGCTCGTCGGCGCCCATATCTTGCGACTCACCACTGGTGAAGATCTTCATGATGTGCGTGATGTCCTCAATGGCCATGGCTACGTCCGATGAGCGGATCTGCACAGAGGCGGACTCCTCGCAGATCTTTTCAATGTTATGGGCCTCGTCGAGGATGACAATCGTGTTGCCTAGCTCGATCTTGTTGGCTTTTCGCGCCTTAGGATCCAACAGATAGTTGTACGGCATAAATGTGATGTCCGCCTGGGCCACCAGCTCCTTGGAGGCAAAATACGGACACATCTTAAGGCGCTGACCGACCTTCACCAGATCTTCAATGTCCATGATGCTGGGTCCGCGAAAGTCCGGATGATCCTTCTTAGACTCGACGCGCAGCTGAAACGAGCAGGTCTTCGAGTGGACGCGCAGCTTGCACATGTTAGTCTTGTTGGAGTTGCCCTGCTCGCGCATCACCTCCGGATGGATGCACAACTGGTCGCGGGAGCCCAGCACCACGGACCGCATGTTGGCATACGCCGTCCGCTTCAGCTCCCGCATCGCCTGTGTTAGCTGGGAGTGCGTTCGCGACGCGTAGATCACCTTGGGGACGCCCCAATTGTTGATCTTCCCCACGGTTCTCGCCAGATCCGACAGCTCAGCGCCTGCGCCCGCTCCCGCTCCCGCGTCGCCCTTATTCAGGCTAAGCATCTGCTGCTGGTGCTCAGATTGGCGGGTGCGAATCCAGGCTAATGAGGAGCAGAGCAGGCTCAGCGTCTTGCCGGTGCCTGTAGGTGACTCGAGCACGCCGTTAGTGCCGTCGCGCAAGCACTGAATCACCTTCTCCATGTACGCCCGCTGCACCGGATACGGCTCAAAGGGAAGTGCACCGGGATGCCGGCGATTAGGCTCTCCGGCATTTTGTGTCCGTCCGTGCTTTATTTATAAATTCACTTTCGTTGTCGTCGTTGACTTTTTTGTTTGCGCGCCAAAGCGGAGTATGAACATGTGTTCATCGCCAGCGCCGATAAGCAGCTGATTCGCCAGTCCTGTAACAGTTTTAGCGCGAAAATAGCTATTTCTGGCGAGAAGAGAAATTTTAAGACCTAAAACAGTTTAAAAGAGCATAGAGTAGTAACCGTTTATACCTTTCCATTGTTTTTACATTTTTAAATAATAACAGTATTTACCGAGAACCCTGTCTTACCTTATTTATACCGAATTTTTAGATATTTATAAACATGAGCGTAAAATAATATTTTCGGCGAGAGTTTCTTCCAGATGATATTATAAAATTATATAGCCCTAACTCAGCTCGGTGATAAATATATAGAATATATTTTTGGAAACTGGTAGTGAGGTTTTTTTTTAACTATATACATATCGTAAATTTTAAATGACTATAAAATAACTAAGGTTGCAGCACTAACCGAAAGCGAAAATCGATGATAGGGTTTGAGCCACGGCTAAATATTTGGCAGATTCACTAACCGTTCTTAAGTCTTCTTGATATTTTGCCCTAAATTGACGTATGGGTAAACTGCTGAAATATTACTTTTAAAAATCATCCAAATTGTTACCTGAAGTAAGTAACAAAAAAATTTGTCATCACTTCTTAGCGTATCTCTTAACCGGGATTAATATCGGGGACACGCGCGCTATCGATTCCCGTCGGCCTCCGAAAATCGACATATCGCCATCATTAGAAAGTTGAGGAGATCGGGCCTCTGCCAGCTCTAGCTCAAATTGTTTTTTTAGTTGAATCGAACGGTTGGCTCGGAACCCGGAGCAGCCAACAGAAGAAGAAGAAGAAGAAGCAGGCACAGCCGGAACGCAGGCGTGTGTGTGTGTAAGCAGCCCCCACCACTACCTAGGCGAGCGAACGATTGTGGAGACGACGACAACACGACGACCGTCCCATTGTTGTTATTGTGGTGGCGAGCGGTCGGACGTTCAGTCGTTCGGTTAGGTCGCAACGACCGTTAGTCACGTCGGTCGGTCGTTCTCACCCGTGCACCTTAAGCAGAGCCACATACACGTAGTAATACGCGCCGCGCCGTTCCGTTTGTCGTTCATCGTTCTCTTGCTCTCGTGCTTACTCGCTCTCTCCCCCGCTTCCCATCCCCTAACCTCTTAGTGTGCCTGTGTGCTCGCTCGCTCGCGGTGGTGATAAATTTTTTTTTGTTGGCACAAAGTAAAAATATAACAGAATAAAAAATCGTGGCGCGGATAAAAGCTAATCGAAAATTATTGCAAGTATTGGCGATTTGAGAGGAGTGAGAGCCGCTACCACCGCCACTCTGCTGTGTGCATTCTCGGTATATTTTTTTTACGTTTGTTTGTTGGTTGTTTGTGATTTTTTATCGCAGAGGCATTTGTTGTTTGGTTAATTGGCAGCGTGTGTGAGTGCTTTTCGAAACTCTCACTCGGCGAAGTACTTGTGCCCGTTGAGATGCTGTTAGTCCGCCAGCTCGCGTGCGTGTGTGTGCGACATTTAGTGACCAGTAGTTGAGTGCAGTGTTTCAAAAAATGAAAAGAGACAGCGTTTGTTCGCGTGAGTGTTGATTTTGCTTCAAGATGGAATTATCCGGCGAATTGCCGCAAATCCCTTATAATACAGTGCATAAATTGTGCATGCAATATGCACTTCAAAATTCGAAAGCTTTGGCGGCTACTTATGCGGCTTATCGATTGCCGGCGGCAGCAACTCTGCCGATAGTCGATAGGCGACAGCGATGACACGGTTTCCCCACTACTAATTCCAGCATTATTATCACATGGAAATTAAGGTCAGCCAAACTGCGTGTGTGCGTTTGCCAAATGGAAAAATGGCTCGACCAACTGTATTGCGCCCATAGCCCATTGCCCGTTTCCTCCCCCTATTTGCAAATGCAGTAACTTAAAAAGTTGTGTGCATATTCCCTCGCACTTTTGGACAGCACTGGCAACCCTGGTGCGCTACGGCTGCGGCTGCATAAGTGGATTCCGACGAAGAGCCGTGTCATTATAACCTACCGCCCATCCGCCGCTTCAACCTTCGGCGTTATTAATGGCCACAAAAACTCGATTACCAAAAGCGGCGGTCGCCCTAAATCATTTGTTTTGAGTGCGTGTGTATGTGTGTGTGCGGATTGCCAGTGTCGAACAGAATAGGGCAACCGCCTCCGCCACCCCGTCACCCCACCACCGCCGTGTGCGGGTACCTCCCACACTGGCGCACAGAGTTGCCAGACAGCCGGCGACAACAATTGCTTAACTCCAACTTTGCATTATCATATCGAATTACACATACTCACACACACTTAGTTCGTGTGTGCGCGAATGGATCCTCGGGGACATGGCTAGTGGAATCAGCTCCACCTGTGCGTCGAATGATGTGCTCCCGTTGGTCATCTGGCAACCTTGGATCCGCTTGCGTATGCCCACTCTGGTGTGCGTGCGTTTGTTTGCCCTCTTATTCAAATAGAAATTGAATGTTTTGCACTCGAATTCCGTCAATTACCGCCGGAGTGTTGGTAGTGATAACGCGATATATTGGATAGTGGTTTTTGGCAGCACCGGCATCTATTAGTCGCGCGTCAAAGAAAGGGGAACATAGTAAGCATTAGATATTGTCGTTTTGGCGATCGTAACTCCCGGCTTTAGCTACTATACATACATACATACATATATTCCTCTCTATTTTGCCACCTGAATCCTCTTGCTCGGCCGTCAGAGATGCCTAGCTCGTGTACTCACGATCGTGAACGGTGGGTCGGGAAATAGGCATTGTGTAATACACTTCCGGTATTTTTATATTTTGTTATATTACCAGGACACGACACAGCTTAAAAAAGAGGTGATACTGATCAAGATTTTCAAGTGATGCATAGAAAGAAAATGCTTTTAACAAGAGCAGAGAAAATCAAAGATGCTGAGCGAGAAAGCGGTAGTAAGTCGCAAAATTATTTTGTTGTGGTTATAAATTTGCAAATAAAGCCTATACAAAATTACTTATGTGTGATGAATATGTATAGCAAAGCTTATTTTCTTAATAATTTATAGTTTTCTACTTGACCCAGAATTCATGCGGTCATCTCTAGGCCGACACGCCTACAGAGCGTAGTACTACTTAGCTGGCGTTGAATAAATCATGATGCAAATACTTAAGGTGGTTCTGAGCTTTATTGGATACGAAACATAAAACATTTGTAGGGAAAAAGATAACAAGCGAATCACAGTCGTGAAAAGAGAGCAGTTCTTGCGAATAGAACACCTTGAATAGTTACACCATGAAGAGAATGGCTCCGTTGTGGGGCATCAAGGCAGAGCAGCAGAGGAAGAGGACCAGATAGATATAGAGCAGCCGAAGTAGACGAAGCTGAAGTAAAAGGTGGAAGAGTAATACAAGTGTAGCACCGTGTAGGGAAGGGGAAGTGGAGTGAAGTAAATTGGAGTGAATTTGGATTTGTGTCAAAGCGTTTTCGTGTCCCCCATAAATATGCAAAAACATCTCGCGCACAAAACAACTTACAGACCCCCTGCGATTTTAATTCCATTTCATTGTTAAATTAGAAAATTATGTGTTTTGTTTAGTTTTAGTGTGCTTGCGTGTGTGGGAATACCAGTGATTACGCAGTTTGTCAGTAAAGTGTATTTGATCTTTTTTGCCTAATCTACTGATTGCCACACACTGCGTATGCGCAACGTTTGATGATATATTTATTTATCGACAATATTTACAGCTCATTTTCATTACCATTGCGTTCCGTTTCTTTGTTTTTTTTTTTATCATTTCAGTGCAGTTAACCGTTGTTGTTTATTATCCAGTCCAAATGTCAGCTGTTTCACGCAACATGTACCATAAAAGCGGAACAGCGAAGCGCAGAAAAAGAGCTAACCGATCAAGCCCAGGACAGCAGCAACAGCAGCAAGAAAGAGAGCGCTGTTAACAACATAAACAATACAAAAAAGAAATCAATGAACACACATACATAGGCGCAATAAGAACAACAAATACCATAGAAGCAACAATAAAAATTAAGGAACAGGAGAGACGAGAAGGGAGGGGCCTAGAAAGATAGAGCATAACCAACCACAAGGTAAGCGGTAAACCCAATTTATAACTACAATGCATTCTGATTTAGTCGTTTCTAAAACCATAATACCAAAACCGTTTCGGAAATTGAAAATTCCAGTGAATTATAAGGTTGTTATAAATGATTTTGATTTAAGGTGGGAAATGTATTTAAGGCTCTTTAGTATTAATATCGTTGTTTTTTTTTTCTGTTTTTATACCCTTACAGGAAAATATAATATTAATTTTTGCCAATTTTTTAATAATTTTAAAAGGGGTAACATCGTTAAAATTCTGTAAAATTTATACAAATATTTTAAATTTTTAATTAAGTAAGCAGAATTGTTAACCTAATAAAAACCTAATCAGGAAATTTTTTCCAATTAAAATTAATACTTTTTTGGCCCAGTTATGATTTTTGTAAGCTTTGATATGAAGAAATGATTCTGATACAAAATTATATATTAAAGAATATGAAAATGTATAGCCTTCCATAGTATTATAATTTAAGTAGGAAGCTTGTATATATGTATAAATGTATATATATAAATAATTTGAATTATTTAATTATTTACCAAAACATTTCAGTTTAATTAATCGATGAAATATGGTTTATAATATTACTGACTTCCTACCATAGAGTTAAAACTTTTCTAGAATCAAGCGAGATAATATTTAATACTTAATATTAACTGCATTCCTGGTTTTAATTATATTGTTATATTGGTAGTATTTCGTACCCATAACTTACCTTTTTGGTTAGAAATCATTGATAACAAACAAGGGTAATGCAATGACAGTAATAATTACACATCTGCCTATTCAAACGGATTACCTATATAATTTAAATTAAATTTTACCTAATCACAATTAAATACTAATATTAAACACTTCTTTTATTTTTTAAGCCCAAAACAAGAGCATAAGCTACTTGAAGTAGGGCCTAGGCTTCGGTCAGAGGAGAGACTAGAGAGCAGGGGCAGGATCATTCAGCTTAGTCGGAAGAGGAACCCCCGCTATGACAATCATACTCTTCCTGGTGGACACTTCGTCGTCCATGTGCCAGAAGGCGTATGTGAACGGGGTGCAAAAGACGTATCTGGACATTGCCAAGGGTGCAGTAGAGACGTTCCTCAAGTATCGCCAGCGGACGCAGGACTGTCTCGGGGATCGCTACATGCTACTCACATTCGAGGAGCCGCCGGCTAATGTAAAGGCCGGCTGGAAGGAAAATCATGCCACTTTTATGAACGAACTTAAGAACCTGCAGAGTCACGGCCTCACTTCTATGGGTGAATCGTTGCGCAACGCCTTCGATCTGCTTAATCTAAATCGGATGCAGTCGGGCATCGATACGTACGGCCAGGGCCGGTGTCCCTTCTACCTGGAGCCCTCGGTCATCATTGTGATTACAGACGGCGGTAGGTACTCTTACCGCAACGGTGTCCATCAAGAGATAATACTGCCGCTGAGCAACCAAATACCGGGAACCAAGTTTACCAAGGAACCTTTTCGCTGGGACCAGCGTCTCTTTTCCTTGGTTCTCCGGATGCCCGGCAATAAGATTGATGAGCGGGTGGACGGCAAGGTGCCGCACGATGACTCCCCGATCGAGCGGATGTGCGAGGTCACCGGTGGACGGTCCTATCGCGTCCGCAGCCACTATGTGCTTAACCAGTGCATCGAGAGTCTTGTGCAGAAAGTGCAACCAGGTGTGGTATTGCAGTTTGAGCCGCTTCTACTGCCTAAGGAAACGCCGACGGGTCAAGCAGGATCAAGTAGTAATGCTGGCACCGGTGCCATTCAAGGTGCAGTTGGTGGAGGGGCGGGCGGAGCTGGTTCGGTATCGGTAACGGCGACCTCTTCCTCCTCGTCCACGTCCTCGTCCTCCTCGTCTTCGGCGGCGACATCGGCAGGAGCAGCTGGTGGATCAGCAGCAGGAGAAGCCCCAACGGACATAGTCTTCCAGCCGGTAAAAAAGATGATCTACGTGCAGAAGCACATCACACAAAAGACCTTCCCCATCGGCTACTGGCCGCTGCCGGAACCCTATTGGCCGGACTCCAAGGCCATCACACTGCCGCCCCGCGACGCTCATCCCAAGCTGAAGATTCTAACGCCGGCAGTAGATGAGCCGCAGCTGGTGCGCAGCTTCCCTGTGGACAAATATGAGATCGAGGGCTGCCCTCTTACGTTGCAGATCCTCAACAAGCGCGAGATGAACAAGTGCTGGCAAGTGATTGTGACAAATGGGATGCACGGCTTTGAACTGCCTTTTGGTTACCTGAAGGCCTCGCCGAACTTTACCCAGGTCCACCTGTACGTCCTCGCTTACAACTACCCGGCGTTACTACCCCTCCTGCACGACCTAATCCACAAGTACAACATGAGTCCGCCGAACGACCTTATGTATAAGTTTAACGCCTACGTCCGCTCCATACCGCCCTACTACTGCCCCTTCCTCCGCAAGGCTCTCGTCAACATCAATGTGCCGTACCAGCTGCTGCAGTTCCTGCTGCCCGAGAACGTGGACAACTACCTGTCCCCCACCATTGCCAACCAGCTGAAACACATCAAGAACACGGCCAAGCAGGACCAGGAGAACCTCTGCCTGAAGGTCTACAAGCAGCTGAAGCAGCCGAAGCCCCCCTATCGCCAGGTGGAGACTGCCAAGCTATGCACGGGCGTTGCCCTGCGCCGGGATCTGGTGCGGCACCCGCTGCTGAGGGACACATTCGCCAAACTCCATGCCGAGATCGAACCCGTGGAGAACTACACGATTGTGGTGCCGCAACTGACTCATCAGCTGTCGGCGAAAACGTACCGGAATCCGTTTGATATACCGCGCCGAGACCTGATCGAGGAAATTGCCCGAATGCGCGAGACCTTTTTGAGACCCGCCTCGCTAGTGGCCAAGGATTCGGGCCACTGCCTGCCCATTGCCGAGATGGGCAACTACCAGGAGTATCTCAAAAACAAGGACAATCCGCTGCGCGAAATCGAGCCCACAAATGTGCGACAGCACATGTTCGGCAATCCTTATAAGAAGGACAAGCACATGGTCATGGTGGACGAGGCGGATCTCAGCGATGTGGCTCCCATGAAGTCGCCCAATGGGAATGGGCAGAGCGGTGCCCCGCCGCCGGGATCAGGTTCGGGTTCTGGTTCACCCACAGGACCGGGACAACCGTCGCCGTCGCCGGGTGGCCCTGGTGTAAGCCAAGGTATGTCCGGCTTAATGATGGGGGGCGGTGGAGGTGGCGTTGGTGGTCTCTCCAAGAAGCTGGACGGCACGGCCCGAGGACGCAAACGGAAAGCAGGACCTCTACCGCGCGCCTTTGAATTCCGGCGCATGTCCACGGATTCGCGATCGGCCTGCTCCAGTCCCGTCCCCTCACCGACGACGAGCACCAGTGCCCCAGCGGGCGCACAGCTACCCGGGACCTTGCCATCGGTATTAGGATTAGGATGTGATTCCTTGACGCCAGCCGACAACAGTCCCGGTTCCAGTTGCTTTGACGACGACAGCAACAGCAGCTGCAATAGCTCCAGCAGTAGCAGTTTTGCTAGCTCATCCTCCGCAGTCTCGGAGCAGCGGGAGTTGCCGAACGACTCGGGGCTGTCGCTGGGGCATTCAGATCGCCTGGGCATCGGCTTTGACTTCAATGAGGAGGAGACTAGCGAACAGGACACACCACTCAACGGTTACGTGCACAACTTTATCAATGGAATCAGCGAGGACGCAATGGGTGCCGTGGACACTGAAGCAACGACGGAGGCCGCGATCAGTGCGAGTTCAAGTGCCGCGACGGCGCCGACGACCACAGTGTCAGCGTGTTCTGCCCCTGCCGCTATTATGGTTATCGTGCCGACAGAGCCTCCACAGGAAGCCACGACAGCACCAACGGCAGCGGGAACGGTAACGACTAGCAATGGTAACGATGTCTCCTGTCCCGCCATCGTCGCTAGCAGCAGCGGCAGTGTAAATTTTGGAAGTAGCAGTAGCCTAAGTTCCAGCTCCTCAGGAGTGCTCTATGTTCCCCTGAACGGCCTGACCACCCATGCCGCCTACAGTAGCAATCTGGGCGGAGTCAGTTCCTCGTCGATGGACAGCCTGAGCTCACTGAGTAACTCAAGACCGGGCCTACTGCCCCTAGCCAATGGCTACGGGCACGGCCATGGAGCAGTGGCTATCTCACCGCCCTCGCCATTATCACCGCCCGCCAGCAGCAGCTCCACGTTGCCCGCAACTTCCACCTCCAGCTCCAGTTCCAGCTCTGCCTTCAGTCACTTTAGCCACAATGACATCAACGATGCCTCGGAGATATCGCGCATCCTGCAGACCTGCCACAACGGCACCAGCTCTTCCTCCTCGGGAGCAGGTGGCAACAACAGTAGCAGCAACAACAGCGGCAGCAACAACCTGAATGGCAATGGCAGCAGCAGTGGGGGTAGCTCGTCGTCCTCAGCGGACAGCGGCCTAGTCGAAGATCACTACTCGCTGGGCAGCAATAGCTTCGATGCCTTGAAGCGTGCGGCGGTTGGTGGGAATCCCCACTATTACTGGGCCAGTGGCCTCAAGCTAATGGATTCTCCTGGAAGCGGAGTCAAGAGCGGCAGCTGCGGTTCTTCGCCTACGCACAACAACGGCGGCGAGGTAAGTCCGCCGCCACCCCTGACACTCAGCGAGGAGCAACGCGAGGCGGCCCGACGACATAACATTGACTTGCGTCTGCAAATCTTCAGGGACATCCGTCGGCCTGGGCGCGACTATAGCCAGTTATTGGAGCACTTGAATCTGGTTAAGGGCGACCACGACATGCAGTCAGAGTTTGTGGAAATGTGCATTGGGGAGTCGTTGCGCTTCCGGCGGCATCGAATGGTGTGCAGCATCCAGGACTGGTGGGAGGAAAAGCAGCAGTCAACACCGACAGTAGCCGCTGTGGCCGAGCAGGCCGCCGCCAAGAGTTAACGATGGCTGATGTGGCATCACTGAGCCCACGGGGTCATCATCCAAGCCATCTGTCTGTGAGTGTGTCGGAGGGGAGGTCATTGGGAAATCAAGGGGAGAGCTCACTCCCGCTGTAAATATTGTTGCCAGAGGACAGCCACGGTTTTTTGGATGGTACACGGGACTATAGCCACCACAAGCACCACGAAAACAACAACCGAAAAGAGAAACTAAACACACAGTGAACTTGAGATAGAGTGAGAGGGAGTATCTAGGATCGTGAACAGGTCTTAGTCGCAGATATTTGTAATTAGTATGATCTATTATTATGTATGTATATGTAGGTAAGCTAAGCCTAAGCTAAGCAATTCTAATGAGAAAAATTACGTAAAAATCCACAATATACACAGATTTTGTAGCCGCCGTTTCATTTAGACATTTATAGTTATATATATACATATATTTAAATGTAGGGTTAAATTTTTTTTTCCCACGATGCTAGAAGTTAGTGTAGAATTATATATATCGAAATTATCAACCTAAAGTGTAAATTGTATGTGTAAAAGCAGCTACAGGAGAGTTTTAGGAAAACGCCCACAATACATTTTAGCCAATTTTGTTGGAAGCCCAGATTAGGATGCCAGATCAAGCCCTAATTAATCTAGACGATATATATAAATTTTATATTTCATATTACATATTTTAAAACTTTATATTTATTGCGTATTAATTTGTATCATCCTTTGGCCAGCCTCCTCAAATCTCCATTTGTTTTTTTTTTTTTTTATATATAATAATTGTACATTTTAATTTCGATATACATAACCCACACACACGCAACAATGATGAGCAAGAAATTAATAAAAAGGCGTGCCGTTTGTTATATAAATATATAAAATTAGAAGACATATTGAAAATAATACAAAATAAGAGAAAAGTAAAAACTAAGAGCTAAACAAAAAAAAACATTTTGCACTATTTTTTTACGTGTATATCTGTGTGTGCGTGTGTGTACGAGTGCGTTACGCAATACATGAATAACAGAGTAAAAATTAACAAGGAGAAATTAAAAAAACAAAACACGTTTGCTAATATTAGATAGGCGGCTGGCAGTGATTTTACGACTGCTTCAGGATTAATAATCAATTATGTACACTCGCAGAAAGTGCGTATATATATTTAACAAATTTCATACATACAGAAAAAAAGAAAAGATCAACAAACAACAGAGCAGAAAACAAAAGCAAACGAAATCAAAGAAAGAAATAAAAGAGAAAGAATTGCATTAAAATTAATCGTTTTCAGGTTGGGACATGCCTATTGGAAAACTCTCTTGTCCTTAAGGACGTTGACCATATGCCCCCTGTATGAATGATCCCTTCTAATGGTCACAGCAAACGCTCCCTAAATGAATTTGTTGTTGTTATCCTTTATTATTCAAGCACAATGCAAACTATATAATACGTTATGGGCTTCCTTGGGTGACGTCTAAACGAAGAATGCGATGTAGTTTCATAAAAAACAATAAATGAAGCTAATTTTGGAAAGCCAAAGTTTGTACATACATACATACATATATCCCTGCAGTTAACCATAGCATCGGATCATGGGTTCGAATGTACAATAAATCATAACTAAACCAAAAATTCATTAATTTCCATTTGGAAATCGTTTCTGTGGCTTCAATATTTAAAACTTTTTAATTTTATTAATTCTTGACATTTTTAAATATTACACACCCCACTACAAAACGTTAAAGGAAATATTTCATTTCAATATGGGTTTTAATTAGGCTAATATAACTATCCCACGCCTTTGATATACCAGGCAAGCAGAAAAAGCTGGCAGCAACCCAGCAGCACAACATAAAGCGTTGCTTATAACGGGGTTTTAGCGTTTTCCAGTTCGGTTTCCAATGATTTACACGGCAAGGGTCTTGAGATAATGCCAAATTATAACGGAGCTTTTCAACTTTCCAAGTCCTAATGGCCGCTCTTTGAATTGACCAATCAGAGACGTTCTTCAAGTTCCTCTCTTCTAAGATCCGTTACTCTAGGACTTTGAAATCTTTAATGGCCGCCTTTTGTTTACATCTGATTAGACCAATCAGAGACGATCTTCACGTTTCCCTCTGTAAAGATCCGTTACTTTGAGGCTTTTGCAGTAGCGGGTTAGCTGCTTGCTGAATTTTCTGTTTGCCTGGTAGAACTTGAGAAATTTTATATGGTGAATTCGGTGAAATGGATTTGTTTTTTTTTGTTTTTGGATTTATTATTTTTTTTTAAGTTAAGCTACAATTTTGTGTAATTAATTTTTGAAAATGATTTATTAATTATTGATTACGATTTTAAGTGCAAATATAAATATATATATATATGACTTTTGACAATCATTCGTATACCTACAAGAAAACCTAAAATATTTAATACTAAAATAGGTAAAACAAATGTTCTCCCAGACATGCCTATAAAGATTCGCCTGTTGAAGCTGATCAAGAATATACATACATACATATGTACATATGTATATGGTTTCATTGCGTCGCAAGTTTCTGACTAAAATTATAATACCCTGCAAGAGTATACAATTTATTAAAATATGTAATATAAGGCTTGTATAGCATTTAAAAATTTGAAATTTTGTTTTTTATTACAGGACATACACAATTGCATTAAAAGAGTTGTGCTTAATGTTTTGCTCCACGCCATCATGGTGAATCTTTACAAGGTGGTTTTATCGATCAGTCGTTTGGCTGCTATCTCTTTCTAGCGTTGGTCTCTGCAAACTTTCACGTCCCCAGCAGACCACCCTATAGATGCGTGCGGTCATGCACACGATAGCTCGAGCTATCGATGACAGCCGCCAATTACGATTGTCAATGCCAATCGGATCTGAAATGCTCGGCATTTTCTTTTTACAGCTTGAAACTCAGGGCTTTTTGTTGATTGCCAAATGGATATCTCGACGCCACCTACGCCGACGAGGGCACCACGAGCAACGAGCACCGTTATGCCCGCCGATAGTGGCATGGAAGACATTCAGCGCCTGCTGAACCTGGAGGCGAGGTGCCGCTTTCAGGAGGACGCCCAAAATGTTCAGCGTCAGGTGCAGGACAAGGCGCGCGACTGGCTGGACGCCAAATACGAATACCAACAGGAGTATTCACGCCTGGCGCGCCTCATCAATTGCATCGGAATGCGCGTGGCCATAGACACCAGGTCCACCAGTTTGGACGAAGAGAAACTAAAGCAGACCCTAAAAATGATCAACAACCTGCGAACGAGGATAGCCAGTGATTTGCGTCCCGCCAGCCTGGACGCGAGTGTTGTGGTGCATTGTCAACAGCAGCTGGACACTGTCCACAAGCCGCGCTTTCAGCTCAGCCGGCAGAAGCGGGAGTTTGCAGAGATTCAGAAGGCGCTGCAGGAGTTGCGCACCTCGGTGGATGCTCTGGAGAACGGACTGGAGCTGCACACAATGCAGGCGATGGACCAAATGGTGACCGAACTGTTGCCAGCACGAAGAAGCGATGAGTAGTGGTCGAGGAGGAGTTTTTATTTTACACATTTATTATACCCTGCATTTACACAATTATAAAGAACGAAGTCTGCAAATGTTATTTCAGGTCCATCCTGGACGTGCTTAAGCGTGTAAGTAGCATTCTGCGAAAGAGAATGGAAGTTGGTGAGCAATATTTGGATGGGTGCCTAGGAACGGGCTAAATTTTACCACTTGGAACGTTTGGACCAGTCCTTGGGCGTCCAGTGCAGGCACTTGGAGTCAATGCGGATTTTGCGCTTATCCATCGCCCGGCGGTGCTGCTCGATGGTGTCGCGGTTGATGCACACTATGTATTGACCCTTGTAGTAATTTATCAGATTCAGGTTCTGCAGCGTCGAGATCACGTCCTCCTTCTTAATCGAGGTGCACTCGCATATGTCGCTGGGCAAGTAAAAGGTTAGGAGAAAATATAATCTCAAGACAAAGTCCCCTTACTTGATTGTTATCGTTGGCTTTTCGCCATCCGTGCTCGGGTTTTGGCTGATAAAGATTTCTAATATCGTCTGCGCCCAGTAAGATCGGTACGAGAGCAGCCCCAGATCCGACAGCGGCTTCTCCGGCGAGCCCGTTTTACCCTCAAACTTGGACAGCTCGTAGCTGAACTCGATAAGCAGCTTGCCATAGCCCTTGCGCTGATATGGCGGCATGGTGAGGATGCAGGCAACGTTATAATCTTCGGTGCTCTCCTTTTCCTTGGAGAAGTACCCCACGATGTGAAAGCCACGCGAATCGAACTCGGTCATTACGTAAAACAGGAACGGATCAGTGTCATAGTAGAGGGTCTTGTGGTCGAGAAAGAGCTTGGCTAGCAAACAGAGATTCTGGGCGTACACCTTGTTCTTCCGCCCGTCGATCTCGAAGAAAGAGATAGTGTGTTTGCGGTAAATCTCGTTGCCCGGCGGATGTCTTAGGTTGCACTTGGACAGGTGCCGCTCCAAGCACTTTCTGCTCTTCCGGTATTTCAAGCAGAACTCACAGATGTAGATGCAAGGCATTTGACACAGCTCCTGGGGATACGGCGAGAAGTACCAGGGTTTTATGCGGTGCCGCCCTAGCTCGATCATCTCTACGTTCTTCATGCGCGTTACTACATCGTCCTGGTGCGTCACCATGCTGCCCGACTGTCTGGGCGTCGGTATCTTGCCGTCCTGCGATCCATCGCCGTCCTCAGTGGCTGCGTTTATCAGTCCGTCTCCGGTTACGTGTGTAACGACAGTTGTGGCTGATGGCGTTTGCGCGGTCCCCGAATGCGGATGCTGCTGTGCCTGTAGTGTATGGTGTCCGTGTGCGGTGGCACCATGCACCTTCCGTTTGCGATTGATGCGCTTTTGCAAGGCGGCTGCAAGGTTGTTGCCGTTGACGAGCTCTCCGCTACCACCGCCGGGAGTACTGGGTGTTGGGGTGACAGGGCCGCCGCTGATACCACTGCCACCACCACCACCGTGCGCGACTGGCGGCCCGCCGGCAGTAATTGCGCCGCCTGCTGCAAGTGCTGTAGAAGCTCCAACACCAGAAGCGGGGTGCTGTGGTGACGTGGGACGTGATACGCTGCCCGCTAGGGAGTGATGACGCTGCGGCGTAGTCACACCAGTGCTGGTGCCCGTCTGGGAGCCATCTCGCCGCGGAAACTGTACCTTGCGCGTGTATAGGTCCTCCTCGTTGACCCACTCGTCCAGGCGCTTGTTGACTGCAAGCAAATGGGTCAAAACGAGAGTCCTTGTAAGGGCCGCCGCATACTCACAGTCCACATAATGTACATAGAATTGCCGTCGCCCGTCGAGTTCCTTGATGCTCACGATCTCCGCTAGTGGCCAGTCGTCCGTTTTGTGCATCCGCACGGGCAGACGACAGCCCTCCGTCAGTGCGGCCTGCGAAAACAAACAAAACATATCTTACTGTGTGAAACAACCACGCAAACTTCCAGGACAGGCATATACCGTCGACTCGCAGATAGAGGCCACGTCGTCGTCGAACTCATATTTGTGGTTGATTTTCATTGGTTTGCACTGATTTTATCTTTTATTTACGTTTTTCACTCTGCAAGCGCAGTTATCGATGTATTTACAGAAAATGTGTCGATAACTTCCAGCTGATTTCAGTGAGTGTTGCCACACACAAGAAATATATATTTGCAAAATAACATGTATGTATCGATAATAGCGTCAGTATAGCGATAGTGTTATCGATTCTTCACTTCACGTTTAATTCAGTGTGGCCAGCTGCTGCGGCGCGAAAAATTCATCTCTTGTTGCGACTGACTTCCGCAGTTGAACGGAAAACTTGGCAGGCACACTGCCGACTAATTACGACCAAATTAAATAAATAAACGCAACTAATATGGACAGTTAACAAAATGTGTAGAGCGAAACGCAACAAAGAGCACACGCCCAGACCGGAGTGATACGAATATCACGTTTTTTTTTTATGTTGGTTCCGATTGAAGAGTGTGGTGCAAAAGAGGCAGAGAGGCTCTATATAGGAGTTGTGGAGCGCGAAGTGTGTGTGGAGAGTGGAAAGTAAAAGTGGCGGTGCCTGTCTCTATACGTGTGTGCGAGTGCCAGTGTTAGTGTGTGTGTGTGTTGACGCGTTTGTTTGTGACGGTGTGTGCCGAAAAAGAAGTTGCAGAAACAAAATCGGCGACGGCGAGGAGTTACGCAAAAAAAAAAACAAGATACCCAAATAGCAATCACAACGAAGGATATTGTGCAAAAGAAAACAACCTCGGATTTTGCCCACTGCCGCGAGTTAGTGCTAAAGTGGTTTGAGTGTAAAAAAGCGACTAAGTGAGCGAGGGAAAGGAGTGGCGTGAAGAGGAGCCGCGGACCAAGCGTAGCGCAGTGCGTGCGAGCGAGCAAGAGCGACCGGCGCAATGAGCAGCATTGTTGGCGAGAATCACGGCACCACCAGCCTCCCACACCCTACACCACCACCCGCCGCCGCCACCACAGTGGTGGTCAGCAGTAGCGTCTCCAGCAGCGCTGGCGGAGGGGGAGGTGGTGTCGTCATGGGCGTAACCACCGCCAACGGTCCGCGCGTAGTCACCATTTACAAAACTGAAACGGGCTTCGGCTTCAACGTGCGCGGCCAGGTGTCCGAAGGCGGGCAGCTGCGGTCCATTAACGGGGAGCTGTACGCACCGCTGCAGCACGTGAGTGCCGTGCTGGAAAATGGGGCGGCGGAGAAGGCTGGCATTAAGAAGGGCGACCGCATACTGGAGGTGTAAGTATATCCTTACATACACATATCCTACGTTAAGAAGGGGTTCAGTTTACGCTTTCCCGGAATTATTAATATGTTTTTATAATATTTGTAAATTCCTTTTGCCTCAAGACTATATCAATATTCTTTCAGGGGTTGTACGGTTGTAAGGTCGTAATTTTACACCCCGAAATTAGTGTAAATTGGATTATAAATTTTTATGTATCCCAAACACCTAGCTATTTCTAATGGCCTTCTGATCCTTAAAGATTAAATTAAAACGAAACTAACATCAGGAAGTCGAAATTTGTATACCCTTGCAGTTTGCAATCCAATTATCGAATCGAAACTTCAAAATATTTGCATTCTGCTACTATTTATGACCATTTTTGTTTCTACAAATCAAAGTTTTAAAAACTCAAATCAAAGCCAAAAATGCTTTAATTTCGAATGATGATTTAGGGAAGTATTTGCCAACGCTGTTAAAAGTGTATGCTTTGTATATTATTGTATTTATTGGAATATGTGAACAGGCAAAACCTAAAACGCTGTAGTACAAATTATACTCCAAAGCAAGCTTACTGCTAAGACAGGGTGTGGTGTGCTATAAGGATTAAGTAAGTGGAGTTAACCTCTGACCCTGTCGCCCCTTCCATCGCTCCCTCTATTCACTTGTCGTCTACAAACCATTCTTCCTACCTTCCATCAATCAAATTGTATTTTTTTTGCGTTTACTCCATTCCGTTATGTAGCGTGGGTTTTGTTTTGTATTCCCGTGGGTGCGGTTGTAGTTGCTCCACTAGCGCCCCCTTACTCGATGCTTCAAACGGCGAATTTCAATTAATCAATTTTGCTAAATATTCTTTCTCGCCAGCGAGCAGCGTAGAGTAACCAGCAACTTAATTATCATCGTCACCTTCACAGTACCAACAAAACTCTCAAATTTTCCACATTTTCTCACATATTTCCATGGCAAACAGCGGGGCAGGGCGAGGGAGAAGGGAACAGAAACGGAGGTGTGAGAGAGAGGCATGCTCGTCTATTATGCGACTGGGTTGTGTTGTTGCTATTTGCAGTGGCCCATGATTTCATTATCAGCAAAAATAGCAACAACAGCGAGCGAGAGCCGTTATAATTCGGCTGCGCGTGAGCTAACAAAAGCAGACGCAAAAATGTAATAACAACGACAAAAGCAAAAAAATAAAAGAGCACAAACATTAAACGAAAGCAAAAACAAACAAATTTGCATTTGATTTCCGTATTTTAGCGAACTAGTTTCCAACTCTTGCTTTCATAACCTTTCTTCTCTGGCCACAATGTCTGAAGGCAAAAAGGAGTGGATATCCAGAGGTTTATATGTATGTTAATACGGAAATTTAGAATCCGTCCATGACAGCTTTAGATTGATATTTATCGACATTTTTATACCCCTACCTAATATTATAATTTAAGTCAAAAGCTTTCTGACTTTATAAACCATATACATATACTCTTGATCAGCATCAACAGGCGATCTTTCTAGGTATAAAGAAGAGATAAAATTTTTGGCATTTTTTTGTTAAAATTTTCTAAGTTAAAATTAAAAAAAAAATTGATAAAAATTCAATTCAATTTAGTATGCAGATTTATAAATCTACTGAAAACTACCGTGTCGAAATTAATGCATTTTTGAACTAGTTATACATATATTTCAAATTTCATGAAAATCTGTAGAAAACTGGAAAATTTGTAATTTTTGTTCCTAAAATTTTCCAATCGATCCTATGGCAGCTATATATATGTATATATATAGTCCACCGATTCGCCACGCTCCGACTTATATACTTGAAAATTATATAGAAAAATAATTCCATAGTTTCATTGAAATAGCTTGATCTTTGTTCCAAAAAAATCTCGCACATCTGTACATATGATTCCCAACTGGTTCTCACCTCCCCGGAACGAAGTGACTGCTGCCGGCCAAGTCTCAGAAATGTGTTGTTACAAAAGTTGCAAGTCATTGTTTACTAGTGTTCAAAGTTAGTGACTGATCAAACATACTTACTAGTCATAGATACTTATTGATCATAGTTACTTACTGGTCATAGATATTAACTGATCATAGTTACTTACTGGTCATAGATACTTACTGTTCAGAGTTACTTACTGCTCATAGTTACTTAGATTCTTGATCAGGCGAATCTTTCTAGATATGAAGGAGAGACAATTTTCTTTTTGGCAATTTTTTTCTTAAAATTTTCTCAGTTAAAATTTAAAAAAATTGATAAAAATTTCAAATTTTGTAAACTTTAAATTGAGTATGCAGACTTATTAACCTATTCAAAGCTAGCATAGAACGGGTCGAAATTAATGCATTTTTGACATAGTTATGAGTTTTTAAGGTTTTGAATAGTAGGATAAATTGTCATATGCAAATATCGACTAAAAAAATTGTACTCTAATTTGAGTCGGAAGCTCGAAACACAGTGAAGGAGTCATTTCCGACCCTATATTCCATATATATTCTTGATCAGCACAAACAGGCGAATCCTTCTATGGATAAATGAGGGAAACTAATTTTTGAAATTTTTTTTCTATATTTTTTTAGCCGTTTTTTACATCATTAACATTCTGAAAAATCGACAAAAATTGAAATAGTTTAAACATGAAATTTGAGTATGCAGATTTATTAACCTATTCAAAACTAGAACAGAACAGCTTTCCGAATTGCAATTAATGCATTTTTAGCTTAGTTATGAGTTTTTAGGTTTTGAATTGTAGAATAAATTGTCATATGCAAATATCGAAATATCGACTAAAAAATGGTATTCTAATTTCAGTCGTAAGCTCGAAACACAGTGAAGGACCTATTTCCGACCCTATATTCCATATATATTCTTAATCAGCATAAACAGGCGAATTTTTCTAGGCATAAAGGAGGGAAACTAATTTTTGAAATTTTTTTTTCAATATTTTTCAGCCGTTTTTAGATCATTAACAATCTGAAAAATCGACAAAAATTGAAATAGCTATAAAATGAAATTTGAGTATGCAGATTTTTTAAACTATTAAAAACTAAAACAGAACAGCTTTCCGAATTGCAATTAATGCATTTTTAGCTTAGTTATGAGTTTTTAGGTTTTGAATATTAGAATAAATTGTCATATGCAAATATCGAAATATCGACTAAAAAATGGTATTCTAATTTCAGTCGGAAGCTCGAAACACAGTGAAGGACCTATTTCCGACCCTATATTCCATATATATTCTTAATCAGCATAAACAGGCGAATTTTTCTAGGCATAAAGGAGGGAAACTAATTTTTGAAATTTTTTTTTCAATATTTTTCAGCCGTTTTTAGATCATTAACAATCTGAAAAATCGACAAAAATTGAAATAGCTTTAAAATGAAATTTGAGTATGCAGATTTTTTAAACTATTGAAAACTAAAACAGAACAGCTTTCCGAATTGCAATTAATGCATTTTTAGCTTAGTTATGAGTTTTTAGGTTTTGAATATTAGAATAAATTGTCATATGCAAATATCGAAATATCGACTAAAAATATGGTATTCTAATTTCAGTCGGAAGTTCGAAACACAGTAAAGGAGTCATTTCCGACCCTATATTCCATATATATTCTTGATCAGCACAGACAGGCGAATTTTTCTAGGCATAAAGGAGGGAAACTAATTTTTGAAATTTTTTTTCAATATTTTTCAGCCGTTTTTAGATCATTAACAATCTGAAAAATCGACAAAAATTGAAATAGTTTAAAAAAGAAATTTGAGTATCCAGATTTATTAACCTATTCAAAACTAGAACAGAACAGCTTTCCGAATTGCAATTAATGCATTTTTAGCTTAGTTATGAGTTTTTAGGTTTTGAATTGTAGAATAAATTGTCATATGCAAATGTCGAAATATCGACTAAAAAATTTCAAATTTTGTAAATTTTAAATTTAGTATGCAGATTTATAAATCTATTGAAAACTACCACAGAACGGGATTCCGTGTCGAAATTAATGTATTTTTGAACTAGTTATACATATATTTTAAATTTCATGAAAATCTGTAGAAAACTGGAAAAGATGTAATTTTTTTTTCCTAAATTTTCCAAACGATCCTATGGCAGCTATATATATGTATATATATAGTCCACCGATTCGCCATGCTCCGACTTATATACTTGAAAATTATATAGAAAAATAATTACGTAGTTTCATTCAAATAGCTTGCTTTAAATTTGTTCAAAACAAATCTCGTACATGTGCTTATGATTCCCAACTGTGTTCTAACATCCCCGGAACGAAGTGACTGCTACCGGCCACGTTTCAGAAATGTGTTGTGTTCAATAGTTGCAAGTCATTGTTATTTAGTGTTTAAAGTTAGTAACTGATCATGCATACATACTTACTGGTTATAGACACTTGCTGATCAAAGTTACTTACTGGTCATAGCTACTTACTGGTCATAGATAGTTAGTGTTTAGAGTTACTTACTGCTCATAGTTAATTACTGGTCATAGTTAATTACTGATCTTAGTTCTATAAATCGTCCGATTGTTCCTATGTCAGCTATATATATATATATATATATATAATGTATATATAAAGTCCACCGATTCGCCATGCTCCGATATATATACTTGTAAAATTATATAGAAAATAATTACGTAGTTTCATTCAAATAGCTTGCTTTAAATTTGTTCAAAACAAATCTCGTACATGTGCTTATGATTCCCAACTGTGTTCTAACATCCCCGGAACGAAGTGACTGCTACCGGCCACGTTTCAGATATGTTTTGTGTTCAAAAGTTGCAAGTCATTGTTTTTTAGTGTTCAAAGTCAGTAACTGATTATACATACGTACTGGTCATAGATATTAACTTATCAGTTACTTACTGGTCATAGATACTTACTGTTCAGAGTTACTTACTGCTCATAGTTACTTAGATTCTTGATCAGCATCATCAGGCGAATCTTTCTAGAAATGAAGGAGAGAACATTTTTTTTTTTTGGCATTTTTTTTTGTTAAAATTTTC